CTGTCAAACTCTCTAGTTTTCCTTGTAAGTTACTCAATTATTGTAAATTTTTTATTTATTTATTTATTTTTTTAAGGGGCTAAGCATTCTCTTGAACTTAATAATATACTCTTTAGAAAATTGGAATAGTGGGAAAACATCAGTAATACTGATTGTCTGAGGTGATGCTGCACACTAAACTGTTCTTTACATCTTGTCTGAAATGATCTTAACAGAGTGGACCAAATTGTGCGATTTATTTCCCTTTTATTTGTTTTATAGTACTACATAGGTTTTGTATATTTGGCATATTTTTCTCTTTACATTTTACTCTTTACCTAACTGTGGGTAAGTGAAAGGATAGCCAAGAAGCTGGACAGAAACATTAATCTTCACTCTACCAGTAGGGACTGAATTTAGTATGTATTTAAGGAAACATTTTTACCTTTCTGTGTCTCCATTTCTTCATTTACTTGAGCAGAGCAGCCACGGCTACAAGTATCACTGCATTTGGAATCTCAAATACATAAGCCAAGTACCTACCTTCTTCAGAAAACAGACTGGTCTCAAATGCTTCACTGCTGTAGGTGTAATCTAATACTTCTTCCTCCTTATGCCCTCACATCCCAAAATAAATGTTTCCTCTTCCTGGTAGTGGGAAGAGGTGCTATATGATAGGCTAGAACTATGGTAGAAAAAAAAAAAATGGACAAAGCAGATTTATTGTGTATATACTTCAAATTAATTTTTAGTAGCAATAGCAGAGTTCTATTCTTCCTGCACTGGGCTGAGTCTTGCCATTTTACGTGCTGGTCTAGCATCAGTTTCTACCCAGCATGGCGATGCTGTAGCACAAGTAGTGCTTTTTCCAGTGAGAATGATGGGTTTTTCTACAGTCAGAGGTTTGTGTGTGGGAACCAGAGTTTCCCAGCATTGCAGAATTTAGTAGTATAGAACACTTTATTTCTTTTACTAGTGGTTGTCTCTAGAAGCTTTCTATGTAGTTTTGTGGAGAAAGATGAGAACTAGCATGAAGTTTTTATGCTATCAGTAAGGGACTTCCCTGAGTTAACTGTCATGCAGAATTGCAACTTCTTCTTTGCTTGTTCTTTGCAAAAGCAGCAATTGCTCTGATTTTTAGTGTTTATACTGGTATAGCAGAAAATACAGAGTGCTGAACACAATGTGCTATTCCTAGACTTTTTAACAAATACAGCAAAAGTTGGAGGCAAAAAACTTGTATTCTTGCACTTGCTGGGCAAAAACAAGCTTGATGAGTCACGATCTTGTGCTCTTTTGCTAAATGTTCAAGTAGTCCATGACCTGATTTTATAGATGAAGGAGTTTCATGTACTTACCAACATTACACTTGCAATTGATTGAACTTATTTAACTGCCATGAACAGCATCACAGACAGCATTAATCAACTCACCTTTATGGTCCAATCTGTGTGACTTAAACTTAGTGCCTCAGGCAATCAGAGTCGCTGTAATGACCTGAGATTGGATCCTGTGTTGCAGTATTAGCCCCATTTTCTGACTAAATGAGTCATCAGGAATCAGGGAAGAAGTAGTAACAATCATTTAAGAAATTTATAGAATTTCCACTGTTAAATTTAAACCATCACAGCTTAGGGGGAAAAAACGGGAAACAAAAACCATTGTGCTATTTTTTTTCTAAGAGTTTTTCTATGCGAGTATTAAATCAAAAGAAGTGTGGAAAGATGAGCAGTGATTACTTTAGTAGATCTGCAGGCACAGAGAAGGAGAATTTTAAAACCAGACCACTGCAGTGTAATAGTATTTTGTCAGCACTGAAAGAAATTTGTTGTAACTTGATGTAGCCTATACTACATAGAGTAAAGGAAGTATATCAACCGACAACGCTTAGCTTTTAATGTAATATGTCCATTGTAAGAAAAGCTCTTCTTTCTACCTTTGCTAATCCCTTCCTTGAGCAAGGCATCATAGGTGCTAATTGGAACTTCCATCAATTTTAATTATATTTCTCATTGGAAGTATTGGCCCCAGAATGTTCTGGTGCTTGTCATGCATTCATTCTAATGTTTCTTGAGACTAATGGCAGGATCCATAATAGAAGTAGGCTAAAGACCAGCAGGATTCCTGTGTATCCTTAGCAAGTCTGTGGGGTTCACAGTCCTTTTCAGGATTCTCATTGCATGGCAGAAGATTTTGTCTTGGGGTCAAATGAGGAGGAGACATGCTCTGAAGAAGTCAAGATAATACAGACAATGCTGAGAATGTGTTCCCAAGTTAATCTGACTCTGTTTATAGTACGTGTAAACAGAGAGGGATAAAAGGGAGTTCCTGAATGAGAACTATTGTTAGGAAAAGAAAAATTCACTGCAGAATAGGAAAAAACAAATGATTAACTAAACAAAGAAACAAAGGGCAGCAGGTGTACAACTTGGAAAGAGAAAAGAAAAATGGAGTTTTATTTAAACTTCTCAAAATTTAAAAGCAGAGATTTAAAGTAAATCTGTTGTTCTGCAGAATCAGAATATGATTGGTCTACATAGATTCATTTCTCTCCTCTTTAAAGCTACTAACTGCCAAATTGCTATTGGCAGCAATAGATTTAGTTGATAAGAGGAGTCACTTTGCTCTAATTTTGAATTATCTCATTTCTTTGCTTCTCTCTTATGTTCTTTCTATGCCAGGTACGGTGCGAAAAAGGATTTCCATTCTCTCTTCCATGAGTGATAAGTGATAACTCATTTAACTGCCTGGATTTGATGAAATATGTGTACATAAGTTTATCTTGTTTAATGAATTGTGTTTTTTACCATAATAGCGGTCTGCTTTGAACAAATGTTGTAACTCATTAATGATACATTATTCATGCCACTGCCAGAATACTTCTTCCTAGTTAAAGTGACTGTATCATGTCAGACACTATTTATTTTTGAGGGATTAAGCATCATTAATGTCTTTTCAGGGCAACCTTTTCTGTGCAGCCCTTGTTAACATTTACTCGTGATCTGTTAAAGGAATGATAATACATTGGTTACCTCTAATATGGTTTAGAATGCAGATGAAAAATGCACAAATGTTTTTTCTAATTTTGTGGTTAACGATGTCTGCTGTTGTGCAGCGTGGAGCTCATGTTTTAAAACCAGCTATGATGATACAGCAGTACGTGTTCTAAGAAATGTTCTCGTGTGTTACATTTATTAAATTAAATATCCAATGTTTAATTACAATCCAAGCCCTATGGAACTGTAATTCCAGCTCTACTGTAAGCCAAGTTTGGCAGATCCTAACCTGAGAGATACTAAACTTGGGAAAACTTGTTTGGCATGTAGTCCTTCTTAGCTGAGCTTGAAAAGGGCTTACCTCAATGAAAATTGACCTGAATTTAAAACAAATTGACAAAAATTAACCATTTGAATTTCCCAGAAATTTGTTACCTTATTCCATAGAAAATGTGTAGGAAGTTGGGCTGCAAAGTGTGTAGAAATGTGGTTTTAAGTGGGAGCCTATTTACTGAGTTGAAGAACTAGGGCAAAACTTGGAGTTTGCACACTACATGTTCCTAGGCACGTCCTTAAGCTCTCTTTAATGAATGCCATTCTCATTAACTTAAATTGAATTCACATGCAGATAGCAATAATATAGTTGAAGGAGTTCTTAATTTAGAAGCAGTTTATATGGTTATTTCACATGAATTAACAGAGCTATAAATTGTTAGAATCAGGACAGGCATATGAATTTTACAGGGATAATTTTAATGGTAATAAATGCTAATCTCCGGTGGTGAATCATTGCTTTAATTCTGAGAGGATCTTGTCAGGAAGATACAATGTTCACTTTTCTTTAAAGGAGATTTTATACTTGGTAACTAAATCTTTTGGGGAAGAGTCTCCTTTTATTTTGTGCTTGCATTGCATAGCAAAGTTCTGGAGTGTTGTGACAATAAGATGTGGGATTGTAGTCATTAGCTAGGAAAAACACTGAGCAGACTATCTGATGCACGATGCTAATATGTCCTTCCAAGGATATTGTATTAAAAGAGAAAAGTCAATTCAATTCTGCTACAAATGAGTTCAAGAACTTTCTATACATGTTTTCTGGATATCTGCCATATAAAAGTTATCTTTGTGGAAAGTGCAACTACTTCTCATTCATATGACTACTTTTCCCTAGGTTGGTTCTAGAGTTTGCTTTCATTTTACTCTAATTTCTTTTTTAACGGTTACATCTGAGTGATTCTGCATTGCAAAGCAACTTCTGTTGGGTCTTTTTTTTTTTTCTTTTTCTTATTATTAAGTGGGCACTTCTAGAAGCAGAAATTTTCAGGACTCAATAAAAACTGCAAAGCCCTTTTGCTCCCATAAGGAGTGATGTTTGCTCCAAAGCTTTGTGAACATAATATTAGAATTTCTACCAGTATGGAAAATGAGCAAAATAGCAAAATAGACTGTGTTTGTGTATGTGTGCGTGGCATTTTGCACATCAGTCTTACAGACAAAGCAGTGAATTTGTCATTTATTATAGAAAGAGCCCTTATAATAAGCGATGTGAACAAATAATATCTGATCATGTATTTCTATCTTACTGTATCAAAATCAGCAATATCATGACCGTTTTGAGAAAGTTTAAAACCAGGAGGCATCTGGAAATTCTTTTTTTTTTTTAAAAAAAAAAAAAAGGAAGAAAAATTTTGCTGTCTGTTTTTGCAGTAAGATGGAAAAAAGATGTAGTTTATGCAGTGCGTGATATCTGAATTTCATCAAGCTTAATTTCTAGCTTAGTACTGTATGACCGTGTTTGTCTAATGCAAATAATTCAATGCTTGATGTTGCATCAGAACTACCATCAAAATTGCATAGTTCCTTGTGTCTTTCACAAATCCTAAATCAAATAGCACCGAATATGTCAATGTATACTATGACTGTGATTAGTAAACTGTTTTTTCAATATGCTGGATTATGTAATCGAGCTTCTGTCGTTGCTGTCTATACTAAATCCCTTTTTGAATATTCTGTTTTCTCTTAGGAGTCTGCTTTATCGACTGTTTGGTACAGAACACTGCTGGCTGAATATTGTATATGAACAAGCAAGTGAGTGCAACTTTTAATTTGTTTTAAATATCACTTCAAAGATTTTACTTACTCTGTGACCTAATGAAGAGGGAAGAGATGTTTGTGTGTTTTGTAATGTTACTGAAATTAAACAGTCTACTTAATTAAAGCGTGTTTCTGGCCACCCCGTCTGGTGTTGGTTGGCCTTGAGGCAGGAGAGACCAACATTACTCTTAGTGCTTAGATGGACAGCTGGCTGTGGAACCAGTGAAAAAAAAAAACAGACATGGAACAAAGCTCTTTTAAACCAGGTTACAGAAGAGAAGAGAATCAAGCTGTCAAAGCTGAGTCCTTGAGGTGTTCAGACTATTAAGAAATCAGACCATATTAGAAAAAAGTTCCCCACTGCTGAATTTCACTGCAATTCCTGTGTATTTTTAGTTTATCCTCTATTCCATCAGATCTTTCTTAAGGACATTTTCTCTGTTTTCCAACAATAGTTATTTTCTTTATTTAAGATTATTCACTGAAAACGTTTCATCTATGATTGTGACTGGGAAATGGTAAAAATTTGTCTACCTTAACAAATATTACTTTTTGTCTTCTCTTGTGCTATCTGTATCCTTTTCATTTTTTCTTTCTTTTTATTCAATCACCCTATGACTCCAGCCTAGCTGCTTTGCTTCTTTCTTTTATTAAGCAGACTTTTGACCATAGCTTTAATTCTAGTTCAGTCATAGAATAATAATTTAAACTGCAGTGAAACAATGGTTTCATTGCAAAATGGATGCATAGATTAATTAATGATATAGGCAGGATAGACAGATTCAATTTTTTTTTCCAATTAGACATATGCGTAGGGAAGAGTTCATTCACAGTATTTTGCCTTTCAAAACCAGTTGCTAAAAATCCAAAAGCTGAGCAAACTCAGCTACCTTTTTTCTAGCAATGGGCTGAGTTATGGTTTTATATGGCATGTAGCAGTCTTTTTTTTTTTTAATTTGGATAACTTGGTTTGTTTCCCATAAAGTTTCTAGGAGCCTGTCAATATGCAATGATATTACAACAAAGGAAAGAATTTTGAAACTGATGTTCAGAATCGTATGTATACTTCTCTGTCATTCTTGATCAGCAAACATCCATTCTTATCTAGAATCAGATCCTTTCTTTTTTAAAAATTAATTTTTTAGAACCAACATGCTAATATAGTAGGACTGATGTAAAAGCATGCATTCTAGACTTTGATAATGTTTCTGTTGATAAGATTAGTTGATCAGTAAATTAGCTTCAAAGCTTTAAAGACACTTTCCTGAACATTTTAAAACCAAGCTATTTTTGCAGTGACAAGTTAAACCTTAGATGCTTTTTTGGTGTGATTCGTTTCCTGATGTTTATGAGCACTATGATAGCTTCAGCATTAAGAAGTAGATGTTTCTAATAAATCTGAAAGAAAGCCATCATTCTTAAATATCATGATATTATCATGCTCCATCTTGAAATTTACTGGTTGAATGCTTACCACTGTAACATCTCTAGCTAAATCGCCATCATACAGTGCTTTTATCCTGCTCTTCTAGTTTCAAAGGCTTTGTGTGGCACTGGGTACGTATTCCTACAGATAATGCTTTGGCTACCCTAGCTGCTAAGGTTCAATTTGTGTAGAATATTGACAGATGATTTATGAAGCCTGTCAGTCAGCCAATATCCTTCTCTCTTCTGTCTTTCAAGAATTACAGTTTTTCAACATAGCTGGCTAAAATACTTTTTTTTTTTTTTTTTTTCTCGTGGTAAAACTGTAAACATTCCAGTTCAAATCTTTGTGTCTTTTTTCAGATTCCTACAGTCTGTGGTCCTTATCCTTTAGGTAGTTTGGAATAATGTAGGTTAGAAATAAATAACGATACTTAATAGTGATTTACTCATTTTAGCACTGATTATGACAAATAAGTTGGATTTGGTTTCAATTTTGTGTGAGAGTTCATTCTGGGTGGAAAAAAAACAACAAAAATCAACCAGTAAAAATCACATCATCTCTTACTGTAGCCAAATACTTGCAAACTGAATTTGCTGAGAGCCGAAGTGGTAACAGTTATGTTGCAAACATAGGGAACAGTCCTTTTGTTTGTGAACTTTTGCCCTAGGAAGCAAGAGGTTAAAGGAGGATGGAGGAACAAATAAGAAAAATGCTCAGTGTTTACTACTTATGAGGCAGTATCATGTGGCAATAATTCAGGCATTTGTATAATAAATCACTAGAAATAGCCTCAGAGCAATTCAGATAGCAACAAGTAGGTATCATTTTGAAAATTGCCCTTAGGTATTTGTACAGTTGTTGTTTGTGGCCTTCACTTAGCCACAGTAACCAGAAGGTGGGTGTTACTCCAGTCTGATGATAAATTACATCTGTAAACAGAAATTTACTCCCTATACTATAAAATGAACTAAAAAAATCGTTTAAAATGTGAAATAATTAATATCAATAGCATTTGTGAAAGTGTTTTAGTGTGGTCTAAAGAATGATCTCTTTGCTGTGCACGATGTTAAGTGCTCTTCTACTTGAAAGAATGAACTTAGTGGCAGCACATTTTCATTATGGATTCTCTAGAACTCCCTATACTGCTTAGATGACATCACTGCAGGTTGTTGGTGTTCACTGGTACACTTTTTACACCCTGTTTCACAATTGGCAATGGTGCACGCTTTAATAAAAAGTGAAATTGTTTCCTATTGGAGTCTGGTTAGGTAGGAAATATTTTCTACAGAAATTCATCTGCAAAACGTATTTTTTTTAATCAATACCTTATGTTTTCTGAAATATATGCTCCACTAATGCTATTCTTCCAGCTGTTACAGATTGTTCACAAGCTACTAATATAACCGTGGAGACGCATATAGTAAAAGACAGCTGGGATCATACTAAAATGAGTGGCAATGGTGGAGTTGCTTCTGTATCATATCTCCTACTTTCAGTACAGAACTTGTCAGGCACAAATACAGTGTACAGTGAAGCTGGAAATGCAGCCTTTTGCTGTTTTAAAGTAATCATCAAAACTAAGGGCTATTCTAGAGTAAGACTTTTTACATTTGAACTTGGGTGCTGCTGCCTCTTTAGCAATTCAGTTTCTGGTGCCTAGTCAGTGTAAACACCTGATTTAATGCACTGTTTGATATCAGTTTCACTATACCAAAGAACACAAATATTTTAGTTTTAAAAATAGATTCCTGACTAAAACCTGTGATGTTAGTGTAGGGGTCTTTGTATTTCAGGGAAACAGTTGTTGCTCTTACCAGGGAATAACGTTTTATAAGATTGAATGTTAAGCCATTTGGTCGAGTGTCTTGGCTGATCAATGATCACTGTGCTTGATGCTGTAGATAGGCTCCTATAAGGCTTATGTTCTCAGTGATGTAGTCCTTTTACACAGTAAGGCCACTTGTAACATTTTTAAATGGATCAATGAAATATGCTGAGCGGTAATTTGATGCGTTATTTCAAGTACACATTGGCTTGGAAACTACTGTTGCTGCCTCTTTGTGGTGCATTCTATTTGCCTGAATGTTCTCTTTCAGCACTTCATTATAAAATCGGCTAGCTTGTATGACAGAAGAATATTTTAAAGTAATTTAAGCTGTGTTGCCTTGCTTTGACTTTGTGCCTCAGTGACTGGGGTAGGTACAGAAAATCCTTTTTTAAGTAGGAACTCCCGCTTCACACAGGATGAAGAGAACCAAGAATGCGTTAGATTCAGTGAAGAACATCTGCAAATCTTATTACTTCCACTTGAGAGTCTATCATCTCTTTTGATACAGAAGTATTTAGCTACGTTTAAGAGTGTTTCCATAAAAGATTGATAGTTTTTAAGTATGAGATCAATTATCAATCTTCTAAAGATGAAGAAAATACTAAAATTGAATGTTTTCTAGTCAGCAGAACTTTTAAGAAGGTTTTCAAGCTTACAATTTCTCTAAATTCAATTGACATTAAAAAAAATGCACCCAACTGTTCTGAATTAAAGTCATAACATTGAAAAACAGTTACTATAAAAGTGAAAAGAAGAAAGCTACTTCATCTGGCTTGGTTTTTTGTAGAAGCCAAATTATGACTACAAAGGTTCACTGACGTGATGGCAGAACATGAAAGTATTTTATTGAGGATGGGAACTACTTCCAGTAAAACATCAGGAACAGCTTTAATAGAACTTCCAAATAGCTTTTTGGAGATGCTTGGAGTTTTTATGTTCTCTTTGACTACATGCATGTTCAAAGGTTCTGCACGTGCATTCACCTATGTTTGGCCTTATAATCTGCCCATTCCAGCTGGCCTGCTTTTTAAAGTCAGCAGGATGGTCGTGCTTATTTGTTTGTGAGATGCAAATTGAAGCTGTGTGCTTCTCGGTCGTGGTGGTGTTGGTGTGGATTGCTTTTTCCTGAACCAGTTGGCTTTTCAGAATAGCGATACTTCCTGTCACTGGTGCCACTGTCAGAAGTTTGTAGTGTATTTGGTATAGAGATGCATGTATTTAACCTACATTTGGTGACAATAGAATCTATTTCTCTGTCAAACCTGCGCAGGGCTTCACTTTAGTGAAGAAGATCTGGAAAAAAAAAAAAAAAAAAAAAAAAAAGCTCAGATTGAAGCTGTGAGCATCTTTGACAGTTGGATTGTTGGATTCTTAGTTGAATTCTGTATATTATTTTGGAGTGAAGTATTAGAGTTTGCAGCAGTGTTATTCTGGTATTGGTCAGAATAATACTGCACTGATTGTGACCAGCCAAGAAAACTGAGTTATTCAAGCTCTCTCATTTATTTATTTTACAAAACAAGTTTGGCTGCTTATCAGGAAGTGACTTCAGTATGGAAGCACAGTGATTCAATTATCAAACAGTCTTTTTTCCAGCTCTTCCAACAAAAGGCATGTGAACTTAATGTAGATAATAATAATAATATATATGTATATATATATATATATATATATTCAACTTCTCGTCTTCAGTATCTCATAAATAGCATGATTCACCCTCAGAGAGATCATCTGGCATGGGAAAATGAAAAATTGAAAATGAAACAAAAAATTCCAGGTACATCTAAAACATATGACACGTGATAGACAGTGATACTGTTTCCAGGCTCAGTAGCTCAGTCATCTGTTTGGAGGAAATTCCTTTCCTCCTGATCCTCTTAAGCTGAGTAATTAGAAAATCTCTAGATGGGGGATAACAGTGTATTGCCCCTGATCTTCTGTTGCTTTTTGTCAGATAGTGAATTTGGATCACAGAAATTGCAATGCTACGGATTGCTGCTTATACATTTTAAGGAACCGAAATAGTGAAAAAATTGGAGAACAGTCAGAACAGTTCAGTCACTGTTCAGAGTTCTCAGTGCTGCTGTCAGTTAGAAGAAAACAGCCATATAGTAGTAAATTCACAAAAAATACAAAACAAGCATCACATGTCTCTTTGTTCAGAGAAAATCTAGCTCTGAGAAAGCTTTTTGATGCCCATGGTTAAATTTGATTTGTGTGTGTGCATATATGTATGTTTTAACTTTATTGGCTTCACACGCAATTTCACAAACAGTTGTCCATAGTATTGAGTGAAGAAAAACACTGTGTCAAATTAATCTTTACTTCTATTTCAGTTTGGTGATCATCTTCGGCCTGCTTGAGCTAATACCATGCATGGCCTTAACACACAACCTATATACTATGAGAAGTTCATACCATACTGATGAAAATGCAAATAACTCATATTTTTAATAATTTTAAGTGTAGGGACCATCTGTTATTTGTGACTACAAATGTATGTAGCCTCTCCAACATTGTTTTTAAGCATCTCAGTGTGAATGTATCCTCATGTTTTTTACCATTATTCCCATTCTGTATGTAACATGAGGAAAGCTGTCAGCAGAGCTTAGCACTCTTGTGCCTTTAGTTGAATATTTATGATAATTTGGTAGAATTAAAAAATAAAGTAAAATAGATACTTTCTTGTGGGAGAGGACAAAAGCATTAAAGCGCCTTGTGGGAACAGGTTCAAAGTATTTAAATAAATACTTATTTATCTATCTTTTCAAATATAATTTTTTAATGAGCATTTTTCAATAGTTGCTCCTTTTCTGTTCTAACTTAAACAAAAATAGCAGAATAAAAAATTGTGGCTGTCTAGATTTCCTGTTACAGAAGGCTGCAATTCATGTTCTCTTCAGTATTTCAGGTGTGTTGCACAAAGTAGGCAATTGAGGCAAACGTAACATCACAAGGATTTAGTTAAAAGCAGAAACCAGAGACCTCCACAGAAGCTCAGAACATCTTTGGAAAGCAAGAGAAATGTCAGGCATCATTAAGTGATAATGTAAGTTATGTTACGAGATCTAACAATTCACTTCTGAGGAAGAAGTGAATGTGTAAAAACATACTAAGTAGGTCAAAGTAATATTCCTTGCCTGACGTACCTAATGGTGTGTATGGATTGCTTTGTATGGTGGCCTTTTTGGAGATATTTTTTCTTAGTCTAACTGCATTACTCAGCAGTCTCACACTGCTGTTTTGCAATGGACTGAGATTTGGACAGAAGTCTTAGTGACTAGTCAGAGCAGTTATGTTACTGGGACAACAAGAATACTGGCAGAGTTCTTCTGTAAGCAGAACTCGGCATCTTGTGCAGTGCAGACACTAATAAATCTTAGTGCAATTGTGATGAGATTAAGAAAAGATTTCTAAGCTAATTGGGTTGGGCCAGGGGAAAAAGTCCAGATTCGTGGAAGGGATACATTGGTTGAAACTGTCCAAAAGGAAATTTTTCTATTGTGAAAATTACCCTGGCAAAGTCTTTTTCAAGTGTTAAAAGATAAATGCATAATTATTAGACTGAATGTAAACCTGAAACGGTTAAAGGAGTTGAAAACTCTGGCCAGAGTCCAAAGCATTTGTCTGATTTGGATAACAACAGGAAACACAAACATGCCGTTGTCTGATTCTGCATTAAGTATGAGTGTTATGTTCAAGACTTCTTGATAAAATCTCAGACTACTGCTCAAGATGAGAAAATCCAAATTTAAGCTGTAAACACAGTTTGCTGTTTTCTCTATAAGAGCGTAATGAACACATAGTTTCATATCTTAAACAGTAACTATTTATGTGTACTATATATACTGGGGATGTATTTGTTTAAAGACATCTAGGTGGCGCATATCTTCCTTGTTACCAGAAATGAGATAAATTTTAATAGCCTGCTTAACTGCAAGTCTGCGTACTACGGAATTTGGAAGTACATGAGAAACACTGAAGTACACATTAATTGTTTTTAAGCTGAAATGGGACATGATAGAAGGGGTTAACTGGCAATCTACATCCGCGTTGTTGTATCTAGTACATAAATGAAATAGTTTGGTATGGAAACACTGATAATGTGGTTTCCCCTCTAACATGCCAGTGGTCTGGGAGGACAGTCAATTTTGTCAGGGCAGCTGGGGCTGGAGCTAAGGGTAGTAATATAAACTACTAAAGCATAATTCCTTAGGGTTTATTAGTTCATTCAACACAGCTGTTATATGGTCTTCGTGAAGATTAAATAATGTATTTGAAGAGAGTTTGAAGGAAAACAAATCTGTCCAGAGCATCTGAGAAAGATCGCTCTGGAACTACAGCTGGTAAGAAAGTACCAATCTGCATGTAGAACAGATTTCAGTGGTAGATGGGTCTTGTGTTGTTTATAATATAGAGCAATACTGCAATCAGAAATTTAAAATCAGGGATCAGAATCAGCAATTAAAGCATGTTTAATGAATATATCTTTTACTAATGAACTTGAAATGAGTGGAAAAAAGGAAAATATCAGGGAAAAATAAACTCAAAATTGCTTGGCTATAATGGCAAAATAGCAGGGAGAAGGGAATGTTGTTCCGTTGATGAGGAATTTTTTTTTATGATAGTCTGCTAGAAATGACACTTTATATCCCAGTAAAATAATCCTTTAGTAAATAACTTCTTGTTCTAAAAGTAAACATTTCTTTCCTTCAGTTTTTCCTCAATTTTTGCGTATTTGGAAACAGTTATCCAGAAAATAAGATAAATAAATACATGATGTATTTTTCAGAGGGGAGTTAAATACTGAATTTCTTCTGTACTTATAGAAATTGAGAGTAGTCTGTAATATACATTTTATTGCCATTCTATTTAGAACCTCATATTTCAGGTACTGACAAACCACTGTGACGGAGATTCACAAGTGGCTGAAATTTCACTGCTACTTTTCTATGAAGAGCACTGATTTCCCCTGATATATTTGTTTCAGACTTCTCCTTATCTGATAAATCAATTTCCCTTGGATATAGACTGGAATAGGACAAATTGTAATATGCCAGAGGCTTGCTCAGATAACCCAGCTTTAGAATTCTAACAGAGACAATTGCTTAGAGCTTTTTGCTGATTGAAAGCTTGTTGATTAACCTATTCGGTTGCTATTATTAAAAAAATAAAAAATCACGTATGAGTAGGAACTGAATTGAGAAAAATGTTTTTTCTTCTGTCTCCAAGTAGGTCGCCTCTCGGGTCAAGGTTCTGATGTCAGATATTTTGAAGTATATTGAGTTCAGAACTGTAACATGGGAATAAAGCCAAAGTTAGAAAAGAACTGGCCTGAGAATATAGTCCATGTTAGTGATCCTGCAAATATTGATTGCAGTTGCTGTGCTTTTCTGCATTTCCAAAATACACCCTCACAAAATTCTAGTGATTCTGTTCTTGAAGTCTTAAATTTTCAGCTTTCTGTAGCAATTTTTTCATTGTCTTACACCAAACCTAGATCTTTTTGCTGTTGTTTGTTTGTTTGTTTTTGTTTTGTGAAGGGAAAAAAAAAAGGGAAAGAAAGAAAAAGAAAAAAAAGGGTTGGCGAGTACACTATGTTTTACTGTCATGACTTTGCTTAGTGGTGGGCAGTATCAGATACAGAGTCTTGTGGCAATCGTACATGAGCAATAGCACAAAAATATTAAAGATTCCTCAAGAATCTAATATAGTGAATGAGTGAACACTGATTTATAGATCCGAAATATGTCCTGGAGTCTTGGAGAGCATTATGTTTTGCTTCTCTATTAGCTACTGATAGAACAACTGTACTTGGCATTACCATAGTGAATTCTTCAGTAAAAAAAAAAAAAAAAAGTTACAAGGTTTTATTCTAGCATGAGTAAAACAAACAAAATCCTCTTTTATTCTAAAGTAAGACTCCAGAAGGGGCATTTTGGAACAGTTAGTCTGGACTAACTCCTCTGATTAACTGCAGTAGCTTTTTGTATTCAAAGCTCTGCACTTTTTTTGTCAGATAGTGAAAAGCACAGGTTGGCTCATACAAAGAGCCAAGATTGACTCCAATGAGGCAAGGAAACTGATCAGAGCATGTTTGGTTTTGTTCAAATTTGCAGGACAGACTGAAATCTCAAAGAGCTCTTTCCTCGCAAATGTCTCTGTGTGGCTTACAGGACAGAATATGAGAATAACCCAGCACAAGACAGTGTGAAAGGAAACCTGAATCTATTTACTGTTAAGAAGCCCCGGACTGAACTGACAGGTAAAAACGGATCTTGACTAAAGTACCTTAATTGTTCAGGTGTTGCTGTGGCTTTCTGGCACTCTGGAAGAGCAGGTGCAGCTTTGTTGTATCCTTTGGTATGTTTAAGGCTCACATATTCATGGGGCTGCACTTCAGAGACAGTTGAAATACTCTGCAGATGAACTGACTTTGAATCGAAAAGCAAAGTTGAGTAATTTTAATGACACATAGTTGGAGGGAGCATAATATTATAATTCCCAGTCACATGGCCATGCTGAGTAGTTACAGATGATGAAGAAAGCTTGCAAAGAGAAAATGACAAGTTCAGAGCAAATGGTGAGAAGCAAGATCTTTTTTTGCTGAACTATGCTTTCGTTCATCATTGAAATGACAGCATACTGCACACAACATGCATTTGTTACTGGAGGTCTCACGTTCTCAATTTTGAAACTGTTACTTAGGCGATGCTGCAAATCAGAACAAGTCTGGCATCTTCAGCACTCAAAATAAGGTACTGAATGGTATTTCATGTATGTTTAGTATATTACATGAGCTACGTTGTTTACAGCTAAAATATCGAGATGATGATACAGTAATATCTGCCTGGATCATCTTTAAATTTAAATATCACTTATGTAATGAAGTGTGAAATAACACTTTTAATTACCAGCTTGCAGGACATTTTCTGGGAGGTTTAAAGACACTCTTGTGTCTGGAAAAGGGGATTCACTATTTTAAAAGTGATTGCAATGAGGAAGCAGTGAAAAAATCTCCAATTTTAGCAACAGGGGTAGGCACTGTTGCCAGATATTGCTGTGTTCTTCATTTGCACCCTGAAACTAAATGGACATACTGTAATTTTAAGATGTCAGTGCAGTCTCAGTTCTGTGTGGGCCTGGAAACATAATAACAAACACTTGAAAAATGTAAAAACTTGTGTGTTTGCTTGAGTTTTCTGAAAGCGGTGTTAATTTGATTTTTCTAGATACATTTTAATGTTCTTTAGAGCATATTATCTCCCTTTGTGGAAACTCGTGTCTCTGGTAATTATCTATTATTTGCAACTTCAAGAAAACTGTGCTTCCCTGGGTGAATCCCTCTAAATACATTGTCTGTCATCACTATGTACAGGCAGCTGGTATGTGTGTTTTAGAAACACACAGCCCTATTGTCAGACCTCTTTAACTCTGTAACAAGTTATGTGCTTTAAAGTCTGATGCTTATCCTCCATGTAAATGAAAACTGTAAATATTCAGTGCTACTTCTAGTAGATGCTCTGAAAGAAACGTGTAGTACTACAAAGACAGTGCAGAAATTGTAAAGTTACAATGAGGGATTGCAGTTAGCTGCACAAAATCAGTCCCGCACGTTTGTTGATTCTGTGGTCTCATAGTGGTTGTTAAGAACCAAAATGGTATTCAAGCCTCTTTATCTGCAGATGTGCTGACATACTAAGACAAGGGTTAGGTGAAATCAAGCAGGATAAATTTGATTTTGTTTTAATTTTTTAATTTCTTGATGCACATCCACTTTCATTTAATCCAAAACCATGCTATTTCTGCGGAGTGTACTTACAGTTGAAAAGGAAACATTGCTAAACTAGTCATTTTCACTGCGTTCATGTATTATTGCTTTCAGCTGCAGACTATTTAAAAAACAATATTTTCAGCCTATGAAATGGTTGTGCTTACTTTTAGATGGTTAAGTTAGTCTAAACATCCTACTTAAACATAAGTCCATGGGAACCTTCTTGTCCAGTCTAGAAACTCTACAGTAAATAACTTTGCCAGTAAACATTGCTGTAGCAGAAAAAGGAATAATTTATCTTTGCACACATTGTAGGGAACTGAATTAGATATCTAAGGATTTCATCATGTAGAGCTGAACTTAAGGCCAGAAGATATTCTGTTGTGAAGAGAATAAGGGACAGGTGAAATTCTAGGAAAGGAAAGGAAAAAGTGTGTGTAAAATTACCCTATCCTTTTTCTTAACCATACATGCAATATCCACTCTATTAATGGAAGAAACTTCAACATCCCTTTTAAATTTTCCTCTCAATAGCATATGTAGACTTGGAAAGGGAATGGATTATGCCTGCAGTTTTTTTGTTTGTTTGTTTGTTTGTTTAATTACTTTTCTTTGATAGAAGAGCTGGTATTGTAGTTTTTAAATCATTTATATGCCATACGTGTGTTTGGTTTTTAATTTATTATTATTATTTTTTTTCATGCCATTCAGGTACGGAATGTAACATTGCTCCAAAGGCTTGGCATGCTGATATTGTCTTTGTGTATTTGAAGTATTTCCTCTGGCCTTCAGAATGTTCATATCATCCAGAATGGTTAGTAATTTTATGCTTTATTTATTTCATGCTTCTGCTGGATTAGAAATATATTGAATTCTTAGAGTTGTCTGGCTATAAACTTTCAGCTGCCTCTGCATGTAGAAGCTGACGGAGATTCTGTCTCCCTTTGGTTGTTTCTGGGAATGATTGAGGAGACATACAGAGATTCCTAAGTGCAAAGATGAGACACCAGACAGAAAAACAACAGCTCAGTGAATTCTTCCTTGCAGAAAGGCATAATGCCAGTTACTCTCCAGTGCCAAAACAACCTCACTGAGCAAATGGGTATGATTTAGAGGCTCTCTGAGGCTTAGATAGCTTCATTCTTAGGCCAAGTGTACCTCAACCTAAACAGAAAGTCTTTGAGTACACATGACATGCTTATTGCTCTCTTCCTTTGGTCTCTGCACAGCTGGTTGGGAAAAAGAGGCTGGGTGGGAGCAATAGTAGCTCCAATTCCCAAGATGTTGGAGACAGCTGGTGGTACCCACTTGGTATTGGTGTTTGGTAAATAATAAGAGAGGGAGAGTAAGACGTCATGTCAATGCATACCAGTGAAATACTGAGCTTAGAGAAAGATGGTGGGAAACAGAGTAAGATGGAGGTCATAAAATATTTTCTTAGTACTTCCAAAAAATGTTTGCTTGTTTTGTGATAAAGAATTCTTATTTCCCAATAAGTTTAAAACAACTTTTCAAAACTATTTTTTCATGTTACAAGGAAATATCATGCAGTGTTTACTATCTGTAATGAAACCATGTTTCTAAAATTCTGATACAAACATGTTTCCATTGTTGCTTTCAATATTTTTTTAATTTGTGTGGAGGCATCCTGATTTGTATTTCTTCATTAAGGTTTTTGTGTATTTGAATTATGAATCTTTCTAATCATCTTTTTAATTACAGTTAGAACAGGCAAAGAGCACTCCTGTCTTACAAACAAGTCCCTGTAGGGAAAAATAAGGAGGGAAGAAAAAGTGATCAGTTAGAAAGGAAAAAAAAGAAGGAAAAAAAAAGCTACTGTCAAACAAGAAAATGAAATGTTTTCTATTCCTTGAGGCATAGAATTCCTTTTCCCTGGAAAGGACTGTCTGAGTCAGCATCCAAACCTTGAAATTATCTGAATTTGAATTATTTGTACCACAGAAATTTGGCTCTAAAAAAAAAGCTATAGAAGGAATTGATATTTTAACTTTAATTATTGCAGTCAGTCTATTGCAGCATCTGGAAAATGCATATTACAATTATGCTAAACTGAGATTATTTTTAAGAGGTTTGTGAGTAAGAGAAGTTGCGTATCACTATATTTTGAACAATCCCCAGAATATTAATACAACTTGCTATGATATTTTCAAGCCATCTGTGATGGCTTTCTGTGAATTTTGTTGTTGTCTCAGATCCTAAAGTATCCATGGTAGCAGTCTGCTCACAGAATACTGAAAGAGGCTCTTTAACGAGGAAATCCTTGCTGGCATTGTCTGCCCAAAATGTCATGACAGGAGCCCATAATTGACAGCTCCTGGCTTCCATTAGGAATTGCAAGATGCAAGTTCCTTGTGAATAGTAGAAATAACTGAGGTGGTGTTCTGCAGAATATATGGCCATATGGAATGGAATATATGGGAAATGGGATGCAGCCAAATGTGCTTTGAGCTCTCTGTTAAATGCAGGTATTTGGCTTATATTCATATTCAACCAAATAAAACATGATCTAGCATTTGTGTGCTTAGATGTTTACTGATATCTTAAAAAAAAAAAAAAAAAAAAAAAGCTGTATTTTGAGACCAAGTCCAAGCATACAAATATGTTGCATGAAAGTCAAAAGGACTTCAGTTTTAAACCCTCCTACAGTGGAACTATAAAAACAAAAGCAACATAGTTCTACTCTTTCCTTTACTGTAAGTGTAATATACCTACTAATGGTTTTGTCATCATATGATGTCAGTGTGATTAAGAACAAAAAAGTTTTTGACAGGTACTCCTGTATGTATTGTGTACTGTATGTTTTGTAAGATGGAAAGGCTGTTGTTCACTATTAATTCAAGATTTTTTCTCATATATTTACATACAAAACTTTTGCATTTGCATTGGAATCCACAGCACAGCACTGTGACCGTCCTTTGGAAGGAACAGACCTGACAACCATCAACTTATCTGCACTGTGTCAGAGGAACCACCAGTTTGACAGCAATCCATATCCAATGCATGCAGGACCTTCAAAAGAAATTTCTCTGCTACAGTCACATATTTGTCACGTTTCATTTGCAAGTATCAAGGTAAGGAGCCAAGCAAGAATGTATTCATATTCAAGCTCATTTTCTACCTTAATATTTTCTGCAGTTGGTATCTCTTTATGTATATATTTGCTGTAGAACATCAGGTTTCACTTCTAGACCTTGTCTCGACTGCTGGCCATAAGTCTTCCACAAACTGCAAACCATTTTGCTACATAAAACAGCATGCTCTTTTAGGACGGAGAGAAAGAACGACTATATAACCTTGCAGTAGTGAGCAGGTGGCTTGCATTATTAGTCATCTCTAGCTCTAGCAGAGCTGGAAAACACAGCTGTCCTGCATGCATGTGCCTTGAAAGCTTGGTTCAATCAGGGACCATAGTACTGTTCAGCTCTCTGTTCTCTCTGTGGTGTTCTTGTTTGTCACTGATTGTGAAACTTAATTTGTAGAAAAGCTTTGTGATCTCAAATGAGTAATTAGCAATGTTCAAATACTTTTTCATAGAACATGTATTAGAGGGTTGGATTTTTCTGTATTCTGCTAAATTATGTGTTTATGTGAGATAGCACTAATCAGAAACTATTTTTTTCCCCTTAGAAATTTGTGACTTTCTAAAATGAGGGGAAAAATGGAAATAGTCATTAGAAATTATACTTACAAATATCTTTACAGTTCAATGTGCAAATCTTTAGTTTGGGTTTAAAAAAGAAAAAGTTTAATTTGGAGAGCAATAATACATGTTGTTTGTCATAAATGCAGTATGAACTTAATGCACATGAATCTGAATTGTTCATTTAGTCAGTTATAAATGTTGTTAAAAAATATACAGCTGTGAAATGATGAGAATCATTCCAATTATCATCATGAGGCTGCCAGCTCTGTACTTCCAGACAGGCTCATCACAGTGCACAGCCTGTCTTGCGGAAGGGGAATTGTAGCAGTATATAAGTATGAAGTGGCAGAAGAACAAAACATTCTGCTTTTTTAGTTGAGTATTATGTATAGGAGCAGAATATACATATAGATAGCACTTGCTCAGGCAGTTTTGTGAGATTTGAAAAGATAACAATCTCCTAAGGTTTTTTATGTCTAGACTTATTTGCTCATTTGTTAAATAAATGCAGTGTGTTAATGCTATTATGAGGGTTGCTACAACGTAACCGTACTGGCTTTATGTAAGTTGCATGACTGGAGATTCTGCTTGGATGCTGGGAAAAATTTCCTCTCAGGAAGAGAGGTGAGGTGCTGGAATAGGCTGCCCATGGAGGTGGAGGAGTTACCGTCCGTGTTCAAGAAAAAGGTAGGTGGCACACTGGGTGACATGGTTTAGTGGTACAGTGGTGACAGATTGACAAGTTGGACTTGATGATCTTAGTGGTCTTTCCAGCCTTGATTGTGTAATGCTTTCTATATTTTGATGCTGACCTATGACATCAGAGGCAGAAAGGCAGCTTGTATGTAATTTATATGACAGTGGCATGCAGACTCTTGTTCAGCAGTAGCTATGCATTTCCACTGACAGAGGTGCTACGTTGAAAAACTGTTTTTTAACTGAGAATTTGCTTTATCAAATTGTGTTACTGAGCTCCTTGTAGCTGATCTATTTTCCATGGAAATAAATAGGAAGCATTACTTTTTGAGAGATCTAAGTTGCAACACGCACAAAATTATCTTGCTGTATTAAGAGAGCATACCTCTCTATAGTCATTGCTTCTGCTGTGATATCTCAATTAGCTAGTAGTGTTGTGCTGTGTAGTCTTTACAGTGACCTTCAGCAGTCAAATGCTTGTCCTTTCCGAAAAGCTTACTCGTACCTCTTGATGAATAGAGTACAGCGTACATTTACCTACAACAAAGATAACTAATGTTCACAAGTATTTTAATTGGTCTTTCAATTTTGCTTCTTTATCTTCACTGTGTGTGGTTAGATGCTTAGTATTAACACTGCGAATGATTCACTGCGGCACTTAAAGCAGTTGGACTAAGAGAATTCTGTTTGGTTTTTTTTTTTTGCGTATTTTTTAGAACCAGATAACTATGTTGGCTTACAACTTCTACTTGGATAATATCTGTTATGACCAGAACAGAGCATTTAGAATTAGCATTAGCATTAGCAGAGCATTTAGAACATTTTTAAGTGAAGCAGCCTTCATATCTTGCAGAGGGTGGAATTGCTATCATGTTGTAATGATGTCTTAGAAGTGATACGAAATTTGTTTTTGCCCCACCCAATACAGTTGCTGGCACTTGTAAGTATTGCATGGATACTTGTGCTGTAAGGGCATTTTCTCTTTCAAGAAAAATGTAACAGAAGTAGTTTTGGAATCCCTGTGTACTCATCTGCAGAGATTAGGTAGCTATCTTAGGTTTTTCTTTAAGGCACAAAATAGCATGTTTTTATGCACATGTTGTGGCTATCTTGTCACTTCCGGATTTGGATGACTAGCTTTTCCATCTTTTTCTGTATATTTATATCAAAATGTACGAAATTGCTAAATGTAAGGTTTGAACTCTGTAGTTTGAGTATCACAGAAAAGCAGCCAGTGGCAGTAGGCACTGGTAAGGAACAGTAAGCCACACTCTTAGTTGCAGTAAATAGGTACAAAAGAATATTAGCAGCTTTAGTTAAGAAAGAAAACCTACAACAAAGAAAAGAAAAAACACCACCAAAACAGTACATTTACAAGCAGTTACTTGCAATTAGAGTATATACTAGATAGTATAGCTACTCCTGCACACTAGAATTCTATTAAATGGATTGAACTATTAAATTGTAACTAGAATAAGCTAAAAATACTGTATCATAGCTCAAAAGAACTAAAATTAACATTTATAACCTCATTTCTGTCAAGTTATTTCCATTTGAAAACAAGTTATGGATAAGAGGACATTGCAACTCATTGCAACAGTAAAGCTTTTAATCAACTGTAAATTACTGTTCCCACCTCCAATTTTTTTTTTTGTGCCATTCTAGATTTTAATCATCTAGTATAACAAGGAAACTATAAATATGTCGATTAGTAAACAAAATCTCTGAATTTATGCTAAATGTGATACTGAGCTCCTTTCCAAAACTATAAGCTAGCTAATAGCAAAGAAGCAAGCTATTTGTTTGCCCATCTAAAACTTGTATCATGTCAAGATGCAAATTTTCTGTACGTCTTTAAGAAGTCTGCTGAAAGAGAGATGTGCTGGCACTTGAGCTATAAGCCATACCTTCAGTTCATGCAAATGTAAAATCTAAGATTAACTGAAAATGGAACACAATGGAGACAGTTCATGCGTTATGTAAAACTTTGTGCTTGTGTTTTTAACAGCCAAGGGTGGAATCTTACTTGAATAAGTAAGTTAATACATTCTTGAAGCAGTTATGCTTCATTTTAGGACCAAGTAAACCAGATAATGTTAGACAGCTTAAGTTTAATGGGTTTTACTTAAGGTAATGCATAAGGAACACCCACCTTCACAGTTTCTGATCACTGACAAGTTCACAGGATTCCTGTAAATTTCACTTGGAAATAGATGGCTAAATGTAATGTTCACTGTAGTTAGAAATGTACTTAACCCAGTAACGTAAACCTCATGACCTGCAGCAGTGCAGGTGAAGACCTGCAATGGCCCACTGCGACTGTACTTGCTTCTGTACTAGAACTGCTGTGCCCCCATGCTGCTAAGGCTGGTGTCCATGCTGAGGTGTAACAAGGTGAGTAGTAACTTAATTCAAGTTGCAGTATAAATGTTCATGTACTTCAGCATTCCTTTTATCTACGTTTCAGTGGTTTGGTCATCAGCTGAGTTTAGCTATTACACATCAAGAAACACAATTCTATGGCTCGAAAATATGCATACTATTCATACCACTGTACAGACACCATCAGCCCTATGTGAAGGAAAAAAAAAAACAACGCAGAAAAACCAACAAGTCAACCAAAAAATTCATTCATTCCTTCTATGACTTGCCTTGTTGCTGGTCTTGATGGAACAAAACAGCTTCTGCACAGCTAAGCAATTTGGACCTTATTTGGTTGGGGTTTGGTTGAAAGCCAATGGAATGAAAATATGCATTCATGTTAGTCTCTGCTCTGGTTCTGATGGAACAGAATTTTTTTTTTTCCCCACTACATATTAAGTTATTTAGTAAAGAATTTTAAGAACAAGCTTACTCTAGAAATGCAGCACCTTTGCTATACATTACAAGGAGAATTTTAAACACCAAATAAACAAATACTAAATTGCAGTGACTTTCTCCTTGAGTTAATACTTCATTAACTCATAGGCTTTCACTGACGCTTTTAACTATTTCCATATTTGAATACATACGTGAAAGTTATTAGTACTTTTATACAAATGTAATGTTCAACTATTATTCTAAAATAATTAGAATATTATTCTAAAATAATTAGAATATAGGAAATATTCTATTGAATGCAAACATAGTATTTCTCTCTGCAAATAAAATGCATGATGACACATATGAAAGAGGTAAGTGAAAAATAAGGCACAACCAAAAAATAACTTTTCACATTTTTTTCTATTTCACCCTTAATGGAACAATAAATACAATGGCATAGCTTCTATTCATCTTATTTACACAGTACAATACTTGAATGTTACCGGGTTTCCAGCCCAAACGTTTTGTGACGTTAACAGGAGTATGTGTTGCAGCATTTCTACAGCCAAGCACTTCAGGAGATCATCACAAAGAAAAAACAATACATAGAATAGCTGTTAAATACAATAATAAACTGAGGGAACTCTGCAGCAGAGAATCAACTTGTGGCATTTACTAATTGATGACAGTAGCATTAAAAATAGACATTCCCTTTAACACGTAACTAACATGCCAGTTACTTATACAAAGTCTAAGACGAGCATTTCTGTAGCCTCCTTCTTAATGATACAGTAAATGTTCACTAACAAAAAAGAACAATAATAGATAACTGTCTGCCTGTTGAAAAGAACCTCACAGCCCCCAAAAGCTTTCTTACATTCCAGACAATACAGGCAATGACTACAATATTCCATAAAGTAGAAAACAGACCACAGGACAAAATCTCAGCATAAAGATTTGGTGTTAATTTATAGTGACAAAAAAAAAAAAAAAAAAAAAAAAAAAAAGAAAAAAATAAACAACAAACTGCGGGTCTTAGCTATGTAGGAACTGAAAAAAGGTGAGGTAGGAAGACGAAATAAGGAATTTATATTTTCCAATGCAAAATAGAAGCTCATGAGAATGAGGGAGTGTTCCTCTCCTTGTACAGCCACAAACCTTTTTTTGCATATCCAGCTCGATGTGTTTCCTTTTCAGAAGTGTGCCTAGAAACACACACGCTGTGACTGACCACCTAGAGGCAGGATAGGTTCTGTGGAAAAGCAGTCTCCCCCTATAAATTACCATTACAATCATCTCTCAACGAAAGACAGTGAACTGTTAGCATTTAGTACTTTGTATCGAAAGAGACAAATTTGCAGGTCATTAAATTTAACTGCCTAGCTGAGAAGTAAACTGAAATCAAAATCTAATATCATATTCTCAGCTGTTACATGCTTTAATTGTAACAACCCACCAGGTACCATTGAAATAATTGTCATATAATATGCTGTCCAGGACTGTGAAGCACTTTCCAATAGACCAGTATCTGCACAGGCTTTGATTCTCAGCTAGTACCCACTGATTCCAAACTTGGAACTCAAGATTTATACCAGTTGATGATCTGTTCCCCTGTGTGTGCAAAGCTGGTATACCAGAGCAGGGATGTCCTGCACTACGTGCACTTTCAGAACATTGCAAAGATTTTTAAGTAACCCTTAATTACTTAATTAATTATTTACTTTTAAAAAAAATGAGCAAGTTGAGTTGTAACCAACTTCTAACCATGTTGGAACAGACACCATAATCAGATGCTGTGAGACAGGGTTTCCAGATTTCACACTGTTCTAGTATAGCACATGATTTTCATGTTATTTCTATCACTCGAGCAGATAGCCTTGCACGAGACATCTCCATTTTAATATCTCAGCTGAGATTCTATGTTATGACACTACATCATTAACAAAACTCTACACTCAAAGTCTAGACAACAGTGTTAAAAAAATTAACAATGAAAGGTGCAAGTGGCATGAATTTACTGCATCCTCCTAACATTTTCCTTCTAAATACAAAGCATGTGAGGCCTTACAAAGTTACAAGAAAATAAATACTGAAACAGCAAATTAATTCCATGCTAATGAAGCTTACAGAAAGGCTACTGAAAAAAATGTTTAGATGTAAAAATCAAGTACTTCATATACAAAATTAAGTATTTAGGACTAAAGTGGTTTAGAAAAATCTGTCTTTCAGTTTTTTTACCTGCTTACCTGATGCACATGAGCATAATCGTCGTTGATAAGCTCCAGTCTCCACTCCTCTTTTTTTCTCCCCCAACTTTTGAAGTAGATTTTTCTGCAAAATACACCTATAACACATTTTTCTACTTCTTAGATTTTTTTTTAATAAGACTATTACAAATTCATCTCTTATACTTCAGCATTTTGTTTCACTTAATATAACTACTATTTCTTTGAAGCATAAAGATGTATACAGTTTGCTAGACACATTTTTAAAATATCTTCTCTACAACCTTCTCATTCTTCAGAGAGACCTTTATAAACCAGTACAACCAAAAGCAATAACTTCCTTAAAAAGAACTGGTCTGAATCAAGCGCCTCTCAAATAATATTAAAATTCTTAAACATCAAAGTTTTCTAAGACAAATCCTAGATTGGATTTTCAAAAAAAAAAGAAAAAAAAAAAAAAAAAAAAAGGAATAATATGTTATTGATGTTAATTTGCTTGATTAATCCATCTCATACACTGGCTTCACAGAGAGCAAATCATTTTCACTGTGTTCAGTCCAGTCCACTTTTCCCTAAATAAACAAGTCACAAACGTAATCAAAACACTGCCCTCCAAAACAAAGGAATAATTTTATCAGGCATTCAGGCATATTGGCCATGGAAATCCTTAAAAGAAAAACAAAACAAACCACATGGCTATAACAAAATCTGTACATTATTTTTCCCAGCCAAGTAAAATGCTTAAGCAGACAGTGAAGTTCCATAAGCTTGAATTAATAGTCAGATGGATTTATAGGTATTCAGGTTACTATTCTTTCTGTACTCTTTCTTACTTTTCAGTAAGGCTTCATCATTGATCTCATCTGCATTCATAAGCTTGAAGAGGAGGAGACACTCCTGTGTATGTGAAAACAGTTTAAATAAAATTGTTCAAGGCTTGTTGTAAACTATTATGCTGCAATACACAAGTGAATAGAATCTTAGACTTGTACTAGCATCTCTGATGCTTCATTAAAAACAGTTGCAAAATCCAACTGGCTCAGCATTAGTATCTTGTGTCTATTATCTTAGACTATCTGTTGGTGTTTTTTTGTTGCTTTTTGACAATAAAATACTGGACATAAAATTAACCTGAACAAGCTGCTGTAACTATTGCACCTATTTTAACAATTTTCCTTTGTTCAGTTTTAGGTTTGATTAAGACAATATAGTATGGTATTTACACCCTAAGTTTCTATAGGCAAATGAAGTGGCTTCAGTACAACCCCGTCTTCATAGAAACTTCCAAGAAAATACAAAATCCTTCATTCATTGATTCCCCTTGTACAAAAAATTGCCAACTTTGTCTACATAGTAGAAACTGAAGAGGCAACGTTTGTATACTTCTGTAAATACACACATATATATAGCTAAGTGGATAGATACATGTATGGATGTCCATACTATCAATAGACAAACACAGACACATATATTTATACATACGAAAATGAGTTGGTTTAGTTTGCATCATTCAGGAGAAGGTCATACTCCCAAGTTAGACTGAATCTTCTGGCCATTAAGTCATCAAATCAAACTTCAAGTTCATAAACTATGAGGGTGAACACTGGCATACGCAGAGTCTTTTCAGTCAACCATATAACTTTTCAGTTTTTAAAACTACACTCTCCATGTCATGATAGCCTTTGCCATTTAAATGTTCACTGGTGCAGTCGTGGTTGTAGCTGTAGCTTGGAACATCACTGATTGTTGATACTGTATAGGAAACAGTGCGCATAGCATCTGAGTGGCTGAAGCTGTGCTCAAACTGGATTTTGTACTGATTCCAGTGTCTTCTCAAAACAGCTTGGACCTATGACAGGAAACAAAAACAAATGCTCATAAAAAAGACGTCAGACTCAATGATTTGACAAATGAATGCCATAATAAATGTCTCAGAAAATTAGGTAATAAGGCTCAGTAATCCTGGGTACCTAGGTGTGATATGTCACATGAGATATTCTGAAAGAATTAAAATGTAAACAGACATTATTTGTGCTTTTCACACCAAATTTGCTAGCTTATGAAGGAGTAGCAGCAACACCATTTTCTAGTTTTTCCCCTGTGGGTTGAAGTCAAATGTGGACAGACAATATTTACAGTTAAAAAAAAAAAAGATAATTTCTGCTCATCCTTACGTTAAGGTTGCAACTGTAGCAACTGCAAACTCTCATACAGTTCAGATACCACAGATTATTTCTGCTACAGTTCTGATACAAAAAAGCCTTTATTAATTTCTGACTACTACTTCATCAAATGACAATTTGATGAAAGACAATTTCCTGAACACCGCATTTCTACCAGAGTTAAAAATAATGACGATAAAATAGCTCAAGGCCCCAGCTTGTTTACATGTCTCCACAGACAGGATGTTATGTTTATCATGGACTTCCTCTCCTACATTATGCTTAAACACCTGCGCATGTGTGATAGATGAAGTGTCACATTGATTAAATTCACACAGGATCAGTTTTGAGTCAAGATGCCAAGTAAGGAATGCTAAGAATGGCAACAGCTACTGTTGTTTCATTCAAAATATCTTCTTTGAAGTACCAGCTTTTCAAATGATTGCCTACAGATCATGAGTATTTTGTTTCCTCTTCAGCAAAACTTTGCACCCAATGGCCAGCAACACTGCAAATCTTTCCTGCACAGACTGGGAAAGTACGGTTGTAAATGAAATGCTAGTCAGAGCTGACAGCTAAATTTATCCAGCAGTGTACCCTAAATCACTGGTCTCATTTAAATTAAACACACAAAATAACTGACCTTCCCCCACTTAGATACTGACATTGCAGTGGGTAAAAACTGTGTTTTCTTTACATTTTTATAACACACTGGCTTTTTTTCCTAATTTTATTTTGTCTTTAAACATGAAAAATAAATAAATGAGAAAAGGATGTACATTTTAGACTTTCTGCATGCAGTACTGACTTCTTATCTGTCAAAACTATTAACAAAGAAAATATGAAATATCGAATCAGTTCCATAAAAGATTAGTATTTTAGGGCAAAAGAGATGCACTTCTCCTATGTTCAAAAAGCTATTTAAATCCCTTTAAAATGTCTGAACAGGAAGCTGTCCTCCTCTGGACCCACTCCACATCTTTCCTGTGCTGGAGGCCCCAGGCCTGGATACAGCACTCCAGATAGGGGCTCACTCCTCCTTTAATGCAGCCCAGAATACTGTCAGCCTTCTGGGCTGCAAGAGTACCAGTCCAGAGACAGACCACTGAGGGACACCGCTCAGACCTGGCCTCCACCTGACAACAACCCTCTGACTGTGGCCACCCAACAAATTCTTTATCCACCTCATAATCCAGCCTTCAAATTTTTCTCTCTATCTTCAGTTAAGAGGTAAGGACATAGAGTGGGACCGTGTCAAAGGCCTTGCACCAGTCCAGAGAGATTATATCAGCTGCCCTTCTTTTGTCCACCACTGTCACTACTCCATCCCTCAAAAACACAAGAGAAGAAGCATTCTGAAAACTCCAAATTGTCTGAGAAGGAAACTTAGAATGTATTTCTTAATTATATCTATCTCTGCATTTCACTAAGTTTTCATTTGTTCCAATTTTTATCCTTTCCATAGCAAAGTTCCTCATTAAAATTAGTGTCTTATTGGAGAAAGAAACAACAAAAAAACATCATCATGAAGAATGTTCACTTCAGAAAGAACAGACAATAGGCAGGGGATGGGAAAACTATAACAACTGCAACTAAATGGCTTAAGCAAAGTCAGAGAACCTATTGGCAGAGTTGGGAAATAAAACAGAATTGCCAGGTTGCAAAAGAAACTTATGCCCACTCCCATATATCCTCCTAGTAGCTCCAGTAATTAGGCTTATTGCAGTTGTAAACAATATTTGTAAATCAGAGGAAATCAGTCCCCACATCTCAAGAGGGCTTCTGGAATTTCTGCAAGACAAGTGCCTGCTGCCTATTTCTGGTGTGAAAATTCTCTGTTCAGGCTGCTTTCTCACCAGTGACAAATTGCTATAAAGAATAATTTCCATATCGGCACAGTTTCCTCTATGCCCTCCCTGGTGCCCATCACATCCTCTTGGTGCATTTCTAACTAAGCCATGCACACCTGGCATTCTTCCAAAAGCCTCTCTGTTACTGCTGAGTCAGTATTTCACCTCTGACCTTCTCTGTGTCTATTCTTGTACGGCGTTACATCCTTTCATGTATTATTGCTACCTTCTGTCCAATCAATCATTCATAGAAGATGGGAAAAATCAATGAGACAGCTAATTTCCACCACTGTTCATACTGTTGAACGGCATGCAGCATGCACACCTCTACAGATTATGCGAGAGCAGAAGACCTATTGCTCTTTTCCTCAACTTTGAGCAGTTGGACAGGGCTGTAGATTCAGCTCAGGATGGGCAACATTGTGAGAAAATATAACCAATGTATTTTTTCAAAGTAAACAATGTCACAAACGTAGTTGCATGTCTCATTAATACAGATACCAATTCCAACTTAAGCATTCATACTTCCTCGCCTTATTAGTAATGGCTCCTTCCAATGAGCTTCAATGACTTGCACTTTCTTTAACAAACTAGTACTCTGATGTCAGTGTAACACAAATCTAATGGCTCAGTAGTCCCTCCTCTCTTCCCCCCCCCCCCAAAAAAAAAAGGGGGACAAAAATCCCAAACCTTGCCTTTTTAGGAATTTTTTTTTTATAATCCTGCAGAACTGAGACTGTAGCCTTAACCACATTCCCAATGACTACCGGAATGAGGGGAAAAACTACCACTACCAAAACCAAAAATAAAACAAAAGAACTCCAAAGCCACAAACTTCACATGGGTAACATAATCATATCATAAGTACATATTATGATCTATTAATAGGTCATAGGAATCTTTCTACTTTCTTTTTACAGAGAAAGCTGCTACAAGCTTCTCCCATTACTGCAACCTACATCACCCCTAAGCCAGCCCTAAGCCCACTCCAATTGGGAAGCATCAAGAAGTAGTCAAGAAGCATCATACTCTGTGGATGCTAGGACATAAGCAGAACATGAGTGTCCTTAGGGAATTCCTGCCAGAGAATATAAAGTGGAAGGGTTTGCATGTACGCCGTTATCTGCTGTAGAAGCTGCAGTGACAGTTGCAACGGATGTTGGCACTGGGTTTGACAGGACATCCCTAGCTACACTGTCTAACGAGTTTGGAGATGTTTCGTAGCTACAGCCAACAAAGCATTCCAACGCTTTTTTCTTAAATGTTACTTAGTTTCTTCTCATTCTGTTAGCAGATGATTTTTTAATTCCCTTTTTGGCCATTGTCTGAAAAGGCCTGCAAGCCATTCCTTGAACAGGATTTGGCTCTTAATGTTGACAGGAAACATTGGAAGCTGCAGTAGCATTTGGGAAATAGTATTTAGATAAACAAACTAATATTTGTAGCATTTTAAATTGCTAGTATCTTACTGGAATATCTTTCTTCTGTTTTCATTCAACGAGTTGATTCTAGTCTCAGGATTCATCTCCAAGCCCCAGACTTGCTATAGAACAGCACACAAGTGTTCACACTGAAGCCATTTGGTACAGAACATAACAAGGAGTCGCTGTGACAGATGCTGATAGGAAAGGTCTTGTACACAACAGCTAAGCTACAGTATCAGGATGAGTTAAGGCATTGTTATGACAGCAACATATGATAATGGCAACAGAACACACATACGCCTACAGGCTCACATGCCAGAAGCCACATTTTTTAATCTACCTTTTTTTTTTAAGCAACTATTTTTTCTTAACTATATTATCATTCTCCCCATGAGTTTCCTTACTTGTCCAAGTGGTTATAAAGCAACAAATCCTCTCCCCAACAAAGCGCAATGAATTGAAAAAAGGTCAATATTGATAACTGAAGCACTGCAATCAGAATTTAAACTTGCTTAAAAAGCCTAAATTTCTGCTATATAGAAAGCAAATGGAAAGAAATGTGTAACTGAAAGCAAAAAGACACAGGATCTAAACATTTTGTTTAAACGTCCGAATCCACTTTTTAAATTAACCTGACCAGAGATGTTCAAGAAATTGTTCACCTGTTACCATCTGCAGGAGCTGCGGAGGAGCTCATCTTATACATTCATCAGCCCAGGGATATTCTGCTAATACTCCCTTAGAGGAACAACTAGGTTTTGCTTTTCTTATGCAGCAGAAGAGAGCAGTGTGAAAACCATGAGTTTGTAAAATGCGGAAAATGATCAGATGAAACAAAATCATTGCCAGAGGTAGGATTAAAGTAGCCTCAGAAGACCAAGAGGGATAAAAGGCAGAGCTGAGCATTGGACAATATTGTTTCATAGAAACTGTGTAAATTTTAAATATTTTTGTCCACATTTTGCATTGAGACAAAGCAAATTGTCTGTTTATTTTTCAAATGCCTCTTAGAAGGGAAAGAGTGTATAAAATACTTATTCTGAACACGGGAAAGTAACCAAACCAGATCCATAATGCTTAGTGATATGCTCTGTTTTGAATCAAATACATAAACAGAGACTCGAACTTGGATCACCTTGCCATAAAACCAGATCAAAACCACTGACCCAAACCTTATAAACTGTAAAAAGAAATCACTCTTTCTTGATCTTTTCTGCCTCCTTAGCTAAAATTAATAATAATGATGACAATCACTGACACTCATACTTTTGTTGGAAAAAAAAAAGTATCTTAAAATCACATGGAATATTCATTGCAATTCAGACAGCTTCAAATTTAAGAGGGAGAGAAGTAAGCAAGACCTATTTGAATCAAATATTAGCCATATACTTCACATGTAAGTAAATATTACTGGTCCAATAACATTATGTAAGAACACAACGTGATAAAAGAAACTAAGGATTCAGTCCTATGAAAACATCTGGTTACTCCCACACATCTGCTTACAGCCCCATACTGCAACTGCACTAAATGCAGAAAAAAATGAACAAACAGATGTGTAAGAATAAGGACAGCATTGTAATTGTTCTTCTGCCAAAAGAGTTGGAAAAGCCCTACTTCTTTGGTGGGATGTTTTTATCTGTTTGTTTTGGTTCTTTTTTCAAGCAAGAGTTGCAAAAATTGCAGTGAGAAATTTAGTGTGTGCGTGTGTATGCATATATATTTAGCCTTTCTAGTATGTTTATCTTTAACAGTAGGGCCCTATAAGTTACACTCAAGCATAAAGCTTAGCTAACAAGACCTTAGTCTATTCAAGTTAACAGAAATAACTTATTAGTTGCAACAAGGATCAGTTCCATATATTACTGAAACAGTGCAATTCTCTGACACAAGAATAAAGAAGTTAGCTGCTGGAATTAACTAATCACAATTTTTCAGAAGTACACTTCTTATTTGAGATATTCAAGACATTTTGACCCAAGCACAATGAGCTATTAAGTTCTGAGTTCGTAACTATTTTTCATGTGTGCAATCTCCTTAATTGCTAGAATATATAAAATCTCTATGTACAAAATAATACAATAAAAACTATTACTTTACCTCTCCATTGAAGAAGCAGAAAATTGTAGCGACCAGTAGACCCTGTAAAATCAAGATAACCTTCTTTATTTCACATGCATGTGGAATTTTTTCAGGTTTGTAATACAACTAGAGGTTCCCGATACAATTCCTATATATACAGCAAACAAAATATTCTACAGATCTAAAATCTGTGTATAGTTTCTAAGAACACCCTACAAAAATGTAGTAGAGCATGCAATGTTTCTTTCCTTCAGAGAAAAGAAAATTCAGTATACTGAGAAAGCGGAAGTTGTTTACAGGACTATTGCGTAAAGGTCTTTACAAACTAAAATAAGAGGAAAAATTATCCTTTATTTGCCTCATATGCCAACAGCTATTCTAGCTCAAGTGGGCAAAAAATATTTAATTCCTACCTGGTAATGCATAAGGATGTGCATCACATATTCATAGACTTCCTCAGTGATTCGACCTTCCGGTCGCCATGGAAACAGCACAAATTCAATGCCGAGCAGGGGAACCAGAATGAGGGTAGCTCGTACTGCTTTCATGTACAGGTTGGATTCTGCCTTGTGGGTGTCTTTCAGCTTGGTTATGAGTACACGGACAATATTTAACAGGAAGAAAAGATTCACCTGTTGGAAAAGAAAAGGACACTGAAGCTATTCTGAAAATAGTTTGCAAACTATCTGGGGACACTAAGAGCCAGACTACTATGTAGTACGTGGCTTTTTGAGAAAACATTCTGGCTATACAATAAGCAGAAGTTAACACTCTGAAAACATCTTGAAGAGAATGAGGCTGACTGGGCTCTGACATCTAATTCCAGAGCCTCTTCTTCTACCCTTTTAAGCAAGTGTCAATCCGGGTTACTCTTATCTTCCGGTGTTTACAATCCATGTGCATTTTCTGTGCTATTACAGTAATAGTACCAATCCCAATGATGCTCATGAGAAATTCAAACCACAGCTTCTGAAGAACAGAATGACAGTCGCTGTCTAGTAAAAAAGAATGAACAGAAATGAATTGCTGGCCATGACTGATGCACAAGTATCATCTTATGGAAGCCAGTATACCCAAAGCTCTGACATCCAGTGCAAAGCTGAAGACACTTTCTATCTTGCTTCCAGTTTTCTATTTTAACAGCCATGTATGAGCTGTAATGATGTTCTTTGGAGAGTTTCTGGGAAAGGGTAAGCAAGGACATGGATATCACCACAGCATCAGTAATCACAGTCTGATTGAAATTAGCTCCTAAAAATTCAGTGATCCATTAGCAATGTAACACACAACTTGAGCACAGGTCTCTGCAGTTGAGATCCTTACAGCAATGTAAAAATCTGACTCTACCTGGTTTAAAATCTACCCTTTCTTGTCTATTGAGACCTCAGTGATCAGTTAGATCCACTTTAGAGGCTTGAATTTGAAAACATTAAAAGTTTTCATTATTATTGTCATTTTATATGAAAAACAGTTGAATTTATCTTGACCTTTCTATCTATTACAGTTTAAAAAACAATAACATAACCGTAACATGCTCTTAACATTTCAACATAAAAAGGGGAAAAAAAAACATAATTCTATTTTGAAGACCTAGAGTGATAATCTGAAAGGATGTCCTGAGTGCCACAGAACTAAGTGAACTATATCAAATCCTTACAATTTTATTTTGGCAAAATGATTTCAAAAAGTCCCCTGTTTTACAGCAGAGGAAATAAACTGATCTGGGCATTATCTATTAAGAGATTATGCCTTTTAGGTTGGTCCAGTAAAGAATGACATTCTCCCATCTTTGTATTTTAAAATGCTTCTCTATTCTTTTTTTTTGTGCCCTTTTTTTCAGCTATGAATATGAATTCACAGCTATCCATACTGAATCTCATTCGGCATGTTAGCGCTCATTATCGACCAGAAAAGCAATACTCTCACATATATGTGTGTGCGTATACGTACAACAGTCACAACAGTCTAAGGATGCAAATCACTAGAGAAACAGCAATGGTAGGGTTGTATTTTATTCCTGAAACAATGGCAACCCCCTAGAGAAACTACACTCAAGCCACCATAAAACTACAGCTAAAAGCAGCCTGGAGAGAGCACAGCCAATTCAAGCCCTTGCCCAAGGACACAAGAGACAAGACAATGCTGTCTAGATTCCCACTATGGAAGGCGGAGAAGGAGAGTCTAGTTCATTTATCTTCTCTTCAGATAAATTGTCTTTCTTGTCAACAATTATATAGAGAAAAAAGGGGAAGCGGGGAATAAAGAAATAATCAGAAACACAGAAAAGTCCCTTCTACAATAAATAGGAGTTCCCGGTCTAGCAAGCCTCTGCCTCTCTATAGCACAAGTACAAACAGGGAAGCCAATCAGACCATGTGCGTCACCATGTTCTCCACAACCCTGGCAGAATTCCTCTCATGTCAATTAAGGTTTTCATGACAGACAGCTGTGTATTGTTACAGCAACGTGGCCCTTGACAGACATGTTATGTTATTTATATTCTACTTACATGCTATTTAAATCATTTTAACAGGAAATTGTTTTACATAGGAAGCTACTGCATTAATTTCTTCTGGAATATTCCAACTACCTCTTGGCTTTGTTTAAGCAACCAAGGTCTTTCGGTTCTCTCCCAAGGGATCCATTAAAATTTTATGCAGCCCACGATTCTCATCCAACTCCCTATGGCACACGCAGACAGTAAATCCATACTCCATTTCTAAATTTAATCTCACTTAAATTACTAGTAGAGCATCAGCCTCTCTCAGAATTTTCACCCCTCTTGTGCTTTGGTAGCATAACCAATTCCTATAATACAGTCCTTAGAATGCTAACTGAGGATGAAAGTAGCAGCAGATGGAAGTAAATACCCCTCAGAAAATTATTTCATTTGTAAATGCACAGCGTTCTGATTTTTTATTTACCCACCGAAACAAAACAAACAAACAAAAAAGAAAATAAACACATTCAGTGCTTGCAAGTAAATATCAGGACAGAAAAGTGAGACAGAAAATAGGATCCACTTAAGAAGAGCAATATGAGAGTTAGTAAAAGTACATATAACCAATGTCACAAGTATAGGGAGCAAGTATGAGGACAAACCAAATTCCTACTGAAATGAATGTCTTGATTTGAACGAGGTAGAGAGTAGATCTTTGCACTTAAGGGAAAATAGGCCAATGAAACTACTCTGAGGTGTTTTATCATCAGATTGACTGTGATGGTTTGCAAAGCCCCAAAGGAGTTCTGTTGTGCTAGCTGCAGCATGAACACACAGAAAAGTACTGGCAGCTGCACAGTGACACGAACATCAATCCAGGCAAGTGAACAAAGACAGAAACAAAGGCAATGAAGGGAATCCTAGATGAAGTTTTGGAGCCTATGCTATGAACTGAGTAGAACTTAGGTTCTGCCTTCAGAGCAGTTGTTACGTGCAGTCTCTGACCTGCAATTCCTGATTTAAAAATTCCTAAGGTCTCTGATATTTCTACTTCTCTCCACGTCCAGTTTGTGCTTAGCAGTACTAAGTATTTAAATCCTGTTTAAATTAATTCTTGGTTGCTATAAACAAATCATTTTTGGATCCAGAAACTCACATATTCTTAGACACTTATGGTAGCCATTGCTTGCTTTTAATACAGGTATGCAACTTCAGATCTAAGCCTACCTGAGCCTGGCTTCCTTGGGCCGTGCACTTGCATGTGCTCATGAATACATGTTTTATACCCAACTTACAGACATTCTCTAGGCTGAGTACATGAATGCTAGGCTTTCAACTTCTTGAACCAAGTCCAGCTTAAATTCATGAAACAGGTCAGTGACAAAAGCAGAAACAAACTGAGGCTCCTGAACTTCCATCTAGTACAAAATCACTAGATGTCAGTCTAAGACACTGGCAAAATCCTCATATATGGTTTTACTGCTGGACAAAAATAACCATTCCTTGAGTATTTATACAAATAATGGCATAGCTTTAGTGGTGCCAAAGCTAACTAAAACACTAGCATACTGGCATATCCAACTCTGAAGTCTCCCTCCACTTTTATCAGTATTTGTCTACTGTAATCATACAATCATAGAATGGGTTGTGTTGCAAGGGACCTTTAAAATTGCTTAGTTCCAACCCCCTGCTATAGGCAGGGATACCTCCCAATAGACCGGGTTGCTCACAGCCTCATCTCCCTGGATTTCCCTGAAGCCTTCTCCAGGCTGAAAAGCCCCAGGTCCCTCAGCCTGTCCTCTTAGGAGAGGCATGCCAGCCCTCCGATCATCTCTGTGGTCCTCCTCTGGACTCACTCCCACAGCTGTAAGTCCTTCTTGTGTTGGGGGCCCCAGAATTGGACACAATTCTCCAGGTGGGGTCCCACAAGAGCAGAGTAGAGGGGCAGAATCACTCCCTCAACCTGCTGGTCATACTTCTATTGATGCAATTCAAGATATGGTTGGCCTTCTAGGCTGCAAGTGCACATTGCCGGCTCATGTCGAATCTTTCATCAACTGACACTCGTAAATCCTTCTCCTCAGGGCTGCTCCCTAGCCATTTTTCGCTTAACCTATATCTGTGTTTGAGATTGCCCTGATTCAGGTGCAGGACCTTGTACTTGGCCTTGTTGAATTTCCTAAGGGTGGCAAGGGCCCACCTCTCAAGCCTGACAAGGTCCCTCTGGTTAGCATCCATACTCTAGCGTGTCAACTGCACCACTCAGCTTGATGCCATCAGCAAACTTGCTGTAATAACTAACATCGTTCTCTACTGTTTCATTCCCACTCTATTTCTTTAATTGTGGTTGCTTAGGCAAACATACACAATTAAATGAGCAACTGAAGACAACTCCAATCAAAATGCAACTTAGGTCTGCTCCCATCTTCAGATTCTTTGGCAGGGATCTGGTCACGGTTACATAATAGCAGGGACCAGCATTTTTGTTGCTAACATTACGTAATTGTAGAATTTTCAGTGATGTACAAGGGTTAAAGACCTAATCCCCATTGGCTTTGGCCAATTTTTCCCAGCACCCCCTTGACAATTCTCTTCATGCCCTTTAATATCTTCCTCCTGCAAATAGAAACTGTGCCTTTTCCCTTGTTATCTAATTTGCAGTTTAATATTGTTACTTAAACTTCTACTAAAGCAGGTCATGCTTAGTAAAGTGTGAAAATTGTATCTGGCAAGCAAGCTGGGAAGCAAATGAGGGTTCTGTTCACCAAGTCTGAACACATGCACTTCATCTTCTGTCTTTATGTCTGGCCTGTCTTTTCTGAATCAGCGCATTAATTTTTTTTGTTACCTAAAAGCAAATAAATAAATAAATAAATAAAATCTTTTACGGTATTGTCACATCATGCATATCACAAGCAAGATGTGTACTCATGTCTAAACTGTTATTCTTTCCTGGTTTTCAAATAAATCTGCTGATTGCACTGAGGTGAGAAAAATGCAGTACCTGAAAAATATACGAAAATCAAATGTGTATTTATTTGTAAATTGCAAAGACAATGGATAGGGATTCTGCCAAAAGCCATCACACACAGCAGATTATTATGTTCTTAATAAAACCAAAAGACATTCTTAGTGTTGCCTTGAGTGGAAAGAAGACTTGATAGTTTTGGACTGATCCTGTACGAGCGTCTGAAGTAAGTAGGACCCTTACTACTGTATGATTTTGTTGAGGCCACTGCTGGAAGGAGAAAGTGATCTTACATCCTAAAATGAGGTCAATTAGTAAACAATGGTATCATTCTCATACTACAGTTTTTGTTTTTTTTCTGCTGTTGTTTAAGCAATTATATCTCAGCTTTAAAGAGCTTTTCTAAAGTGACAGATCTGTGAAGTGACACCTACGCAAAGGAAGTAATGATCCCACGTTACAATTAAGGGTGAAATATGGTGCCATTCAAGTGAGCAAAAAATAATATTGCTTTCTGAGAAAACAAGATTTCATCTTCTGTGTAAATTGGATTACAGGATTTAGATCTGGTTTTACCTTTAAAAATTAAAGTACTAGTTAACCTGTCTTTAAGACAACATGTATGGACGACCTAACAGAGCAAGGTATTATCAGTAACATGCCGAGGGCCATGGATCTCAATAATTTCATGGGGACTACCTCTGGCTTCCCAAGCAGAGGATCACAGATGTGTCATGGTGTCAAAATGGCCTATAAAATATACATTCACCAGTCAACTTCACTGTGACTGAAACTGAATCACAAGAACCACAGGAATTATGGAACAGTCTTCAGAGTGATTTCTCTCTGCACAGAAGTGCCCCATGAATATCCAAAAACATTTAAAAGCAGAGGAAGTTCATATACATCCAAAACCAAAATGTTTCTGAAGGTTACTTAATGTTATCATTCTTAATTTCCTAGCACAAACTGGAAGTCATAAGGAAAGTCATTACACAGATATTTAATATCTTTGCCAGACAAGCTTCAAGTTTCTGTTAAGGTAATTATGTCTGTTAGCATTTTCTTTTACTATGAACTTATTCCTATTTAGAAATTAACTACTGACTGAATTTATTTGGTTAAATTCAACCTTAGAATAATTTAAATATAACATTGATTTAAGTAAAGTGAAGTCTTAAATTACTTCAAATTTATTTCTTCAATAGCAAAGATTTGTGTAATAGCTCCATAGAAAGGCCAAGACATAGGTATCTTAAGTTTTTAGGACACTTACCAGGTTAAGTGAGAATCCTGTAAATGAATGACTGTTAGGAAAGAGCCTAAAACTACTTTATAAGCCACCAAGAACAATTTTAAAAAGTCAAGTGAGAAAAGTTATTTGAAAAATGCCTACCAATAGAGCAGCACAAATAGGGCCATGGATGATGTAGAGCAGATGAGTATCAGAGCTGATCCAACAGCTAGAGAAAAGAAGCAAGGAAAGAAAAACATTTGGTATTTTGTTATCTGTTCTATTCCTTATTCTTCTCCTTAAACTAAAAATAATCATTTTGCAAAGCAAATTGAGATACTACTTACTTGTCATTATAATACAAGCTTCTAGCAACAGCATGTATGCAGGCAGGGATCAGTGGAAAACCTGCGAATAAGAAGCATTTTCTTAATACATAAACTTACTAGCCAATAAGTAAATAGCTAACTAAACTTGCATCTTCTGCAGAGATCCTCCACCTCATCCAAATCATTTGTAAGTGCAGAGCAAAAAAAGGATCAATCCAGTTTCTATTTTCCCAGATTTATTTTAGAGGAGCGTATGAAACCTTATTCCCACTCTCCTATCTGAAAATCCATATCAACGTATAGAAAGAAGAGGCAAATCAATATTTATAATTATTTAGAATATTAACACAGATGGTTTTCTGTGAATCTGCTACAATCTGCAGTAATGCTCAATGCTAAGTAAGATAAGTATACATCTGTCTGTAACTGTATATAAATAACATGATTAACAGTGTTAACTGTGTTCCTCCTGGTGTTTTCTGGGTATCCATAAAACAATATTCCTTGCAAAAATAAAGAATTAAATAAAATTAAACAGGCTAGAAACCTGGAATGTACAAAATTTAAAAGAATAATTATTTGAGGTGCTTCACATCCTGGTGATCCCTATTTTTTAGAAACCACAGAGTACATGTTAGCTCTCAGACTCATCTCAGCTGTGCCCACTGTGGTGCGGCCAGTGACACAGGCACCGAGTCACGCTGTAGCTGAAAGTGCCCATGCAATAAGCTGAGGAACAAGTCCTCACTCGCACTTTGTGTATATGTTGTTCTACACTATCTGAAACCACCGGGTTTGGCTTATTAGTTCTAACACGGATATTACTTCAGATCGTTAGCTACAGCTACTCTGTATTTGCAGAGTGAACAATACAGGTCAAATGGAACCGCTGGAAAAATAAGTTCTTAGCCATTCAGTTTTGACCCTCCACCCTAGACATGGCAAGACTTCTCTGAAAACAAACATTCATTCCTGAATAAATATCTTCAGTGAGGAACAATGAATAATTACTTCTTAATGTCTTTTTATAATAAGAGACTATTTTCTCTGTACAAAGGAGGAGCCACTTCCTGACAACAGAAACAATCTCTCTTTCAGCAAAGATAGAGCTACATTCAACTTCCTATATTAATATTTCTAGGCCTGTTAAAACATAACAGACAAAGAAGAAGGGCATGCTGTCATTGTTCAAATCTACCACCTCAGAGAAGCAACAGGACAGCTGTTCAACCGCTCATGAAAAGGAGTTAAAGATAGCACTGGCCTGAAAATACAGTGTGAAATTGCGTACCCCAGCCAAGAAGGTAATACCACATCAAGTGCTGTTTCTCAGCAAAAACAGCCACCACAATAAGGGTATGCAGGTAAATGCCTTCGCACAGCATCCAGAAGTAGTTGCAACCCATTAGGTACAGGTAGATAAACATTGACACTTTGCAGCTAACCTGTGGAAAACAAAACACAGTACAATATAAATTCTTAATTTGCAAAAATCTCACAGAGAAGTACTTGGAAAAAATATTTTATTTTACAGAATTAAAATTCCATATTTTATAGCCAGTCTATTTTTACTAAGCCAATATAAGAAGCAAACATCCTCAAGCATGATGGCAGGAAGCAGTAATGATAATATCTCCCTTTGTCACAAATAGTGACACATTTGATCATTCCAGTTAAAATGGTAGTCCTCAAATTAACAGACGCACTAAAAAAACACCGTTTGAAGAAGCTAATTCTCTGGCAGTTATACCAGTCACAACATACAGAATGATAAACATTCTAAACATCCTTACAATATTGCCAATTTAAACCTAGTCACAACTGAAATTAGCCCCAGGGTACAGTTCATACGGTCGATTCTAGTCATAAGCATTCTTGATTGCAAATATTAGGCTCATTCAAAATATCCTGACATTCTTCAATTGCAGCGTTATGTAAGAGTTTGCTGTAAAGATTAAAAGAGTGAAATTGCAAATAAGAAATAAGACGCTGTTATTTCTCTCCTGTTTTCTCCTATGGAAACCAGTGTGCTTCATTAATTGGGTTGGAAGGGACCTTAAAGATCATCTAATTCCAACCTGCCTGCCATGGGCAGGATTGCCAGCCACCAGTGCCTCATCTTCCTAGCCTTGAGCACCTCCACGGATGGGGCAGCCACAGCTTCTCTGAGCAACCTGTGTCAGAGCTCCACTACCCCCTTTGAAAAAAATGTCCTCCTAATATATCATCTAAAACTCCTCCCTTTTATTTTGAAGCCATTCTCTCCCTTGTCCTATCACTATCTGCCTGTGGAATAAATCAGCCTCCATCTTCCATACTGGAAGGCCACAATGAGGTCTCCCCAGAGCTTTCTGTTCTCTGAGCTAAGGAAGGCCAACTGCTTGGAAGCCCCACCTGGATGCAGTACTCCAAATGAGACCTCACATGGACGGAGTAGAGGGGAATGGGACAATCATCTCTCTCAACCTGCTGTCACCCCTCTTTGAATGCAGCCCAGGATACTGATTGCATTCAGAGCTACAACAGTGCATTGCTGGCTCACGTCAATCTCTTCATCCGCTAGGACCTCCAAGTCCTTCTGCACAGGACTCTGGGAAGAAACAACTCATCACTAGCCTCCATCTAGCCATAGAGCTGATGACCACAGCCCTCTGGTTGTGACCAGTTATTTATCCATCTAATCGTCCACCCTTCAAAATCCATTTCTCTCCAGTTTAGAGACAAGAATGTGGTGTGCAACCATGTCCAAGGCCCTGCACAAACCCAAGTGGATGACATCAGTTGCCCTTCCTTTGTCCACCAGCTTAAACCAAATAAACAACGCAATAATGTTTTACCGTGTTCTGCTACTTCACAAATTAATGATTATTAGCAGCTAACTCAAGCCTGTTTTTCAGTATTTTTATGAGCTTTCACAGAAGAGAGAATTGATCTTTTTCCAGAAGCTGTTGGAATCAAGGATTTTTACCCTGTCACAGAATTAAAACTTATCTTCCACATCTAATTAAAAATAAAGCCACAGTTAGGGATCTGTATGTGCATTTCAGTTCCTAGCCTTGCAGGACAGGCTACTCATTCACACTTAACCCAATGAGAGAGAGACAAAAAGTATTTTCATTTCAACTCGAGATCGAAAGCAAAAGCCCTAAAAAAGTTGCTGAGAGAGCCAGAATACACTACCAAACTTCGGCTGTCACAGCCTCACTGACATCACGACAACAGGCTACTTTCTTGCAGTTGTTTCAGTGCAGAAGTCATCTGTACAAATTCAGAAGAGTACTTCAGTACACTTTGTCTCTGAGGCTGCTTTATTATTTCAAAACCTCAAATGTGAAGGGCCCAAATCACTGTTTGACATCTGTTGCAATATGTAGCATGGATACATTATTACTGAACATTTTGCCCTTGCTGTACGCATTTCATCAACTGTTCATGCTTCATTTCTCCCTTCTACATCACTGAAATGTTTCACATACAAATCAACAAAGCTGCCAGATATACTTTCACTTACTGGATTAGCTGCAACTAATTCCTGATTGTTGGCAATTGCAGTCAGTGAAATTATTGTTACAACAGAGTTGCAAACAAAAGAGAAAAAGAGATTTTTATGAAGAGTAATCCTCTGGCAACTCAAGCTCCTAGAAAAGAGAAAGAAGAACAAATGAATACACAAGGGGGCAGCTATGTGTAACTGGGGACAACTCTGAAATTTTGAAATACTAAAGCTGTTTATTATGCACTCTTACATCAACCCTTTCTTCAACTCCAGTCCAAATTTAATAGAATGATGTGAAAGGTAATACCTTCCCTTAATCTCTAGTTCATTTGACAACAGGAGGAAAACAAGTATGTTCAGTTCAAATACATTTACAACTAAGGACTTGCATTACAGTGGTTACCTAAAAATAATTTGGATACCGGTAATAGCACGTTTCTGAAAACATTCTGCTTTTGTTAGTGTCTGATGATCTTCCAACTCACCATCACACCCAAGCTTGAGGAAGTTGTGTCAGTTATGTTTCAATTTACTCACATCTGCCAGGATTTTTGGAGGACAATTCTATTTTACTCACATTATTGGTCACTTTTCTTCCCTAATCCTACAGCTAGAGAAATACCCAAATAAGTAAAAGAGTGAAAAATATTATCTTGGCTCGTGTATAATCAAGTTATAAGCAGAATATGAAAGTTAAAAAATGCTATATGCAAAATGTTTGTGTTTATTTTCAACATTTCCTTTGAATATTGCAATAAAATTTCAGACTAAAATATATTTTGAAGGGTTATTAAAAAAATAAAAATAAAAAATAATACTTAATTAGACCATTGTGAGACAGCTTAGTTTTACCCCACTGATGATGTATTGTTGTAACCTCAGCTAGTAATCCTGCTCAGTATGAAAGAAACCACAGGTCCAGACATTTGATGTATGCACTTGGCTGAGGAGCCACTGGAATGAGGCTGCCATCCGTGAGATTATGACTGAATGCCTCTAAGTCAGAATTCCCCCCTAAATGTAGCAATACTGCAGTGCTGAGGCATCTTGGTGGGCTTGCAATAGCCAGCCGCTTTGGCTGCCAGTGCAGAGTAAAGAGAAGGGGGAAATGGTTTGAGACTCAAAGAGGGTAGACTTAGGTTGAATATAAGGAAAAAATCTTTTACAGTGGAGGTGGTGAGGCAGTGGAACAGGTTGCCCAGAGAGGTGGTTGATGCCCCATCTCTGGAGACTTTCAAGGCGAGGCTGAATCAGGCTCTGGGCAACCTGATCTAGCTGCAGGGGAGTTGGACTAGATGGTCTTCACAGGTCCCTTCATACTGTAAGGATTCTACGATCTACAGTTCTGTGATTCTAAATTATACCCAACACTGAGCATAGGAATAGTAATTTCTGCTTAGCCATCACTCTAAAAAAACACTGCCATACAGTGTGGCACACAGATCAACTCTGATCCTAAACCATCTTCTAGTATCCACGCTTTATCTGACTGAGGAAATTACACATACTTTATATAAATTCAATGAAATAAATTGTGATATAAATTAAGTGAAAAAGTATATTTCATTAGGCTTTACAAATACTTTTGTTTCTAATGTTGTTTTTAATCTTTGTGTGTTTAAACAACACATGAAGTTTGATTATCAAAACATGCTTAGTTTTTATATTCTTTGAATATATATATATCTCGCTGCACTTTTTTCCTATACGGTTCATATAGCAAGAAGGAAAGGAGCACTGGATTCCAGCTAACAGTTTTGTATAAACAAGTCCTGAAGAACTCTGGAAGCCCGTCTGCTTATTGTTAAGATTCAGTGCAGAGGCAAGGAAAAGCACGTACAAGTAACGGGGCCATCTCCCGGGGTCATCCAGCAGCTGTTCCTGTTGAATATGCAAACACACCCATCCACACCCACCTCCACCCATGCAGAAAAGGATTGAAAGGATCACCGGACAAGAAACAAGAAAGCAAGACTGCTGACATTTAAAAATGAAATTTGCTTTTGGTAATAAAGGCATTTCTTCATTACACTCCCTGCCCCTCCCTTTTCTGTTATCCTTCCTATTTCCTTCTTCTGACTGTTTTTCTTAGTGACACTGTCCTTTAGTCATCTAATTCTCATACTGATGATCAGCATTCAGATGACCTACCATTGAATGCTTTACCCCACATGGCACAAAATAAAAAACAACAACAAAACCCTCCTGTTCTGTACTTTTATGTAGTATAATTATGTATTTTTAATTTCACTTCTGTATGTCTTGGCACTAAGGAAAAATTATTTCAAGAAGAAAAAAAGACGTCGTTTTCTAATTTCTATTCAAAAAAAAAGTGAGATCCATATATACACCCAAGGGGAAGGGAGGCCTTTATGCTTGGGTGAACTTAAAGTGATTTAGGAACCCCACTATCTTTCCATCTGTCTTATCCAGTGTTTGTCCACACCAAGTTCAGTGTTGGTCACCCTGCAAGCGCTGTCAGATCACTGGGTGATCCACAGCTTCTCCTTCATTCCAGATTTTTTCCTTTTTCTCAATGCCCTGCTCTTTTAGGTTTTCTGTTAACTCACTTTTCCTTCTTAATGAAAATAACCATACAACTTTTTAAAGAAAAGTAATCTGTGAAATTATGCACAATTTTGAGTATGTAACAGAACGAGAAAGGAGAGTCACTGCAAATCACTACTCTTGTCTTCACTGATGATTTCTCCTGTAGAAAGACTGGAGTTCCAAGTTTGTATAACCCATTTTAAAACAAAAATCCACTTGAGGAGCACAAGTCACAAATTAAACTGATATTTCCAATGATACAGTTTTCTGAAGAAAAAAAATTGAAATTGAAAATAAAATGCACAGAACTGTAATAATATGAAAAAAAAAATCAGTGAAAATCAAATAATTGATACTTGGAAAAGCTGAAGATTTTTGGGAAAAAAAAAAGAAGCTGTCATTTTTCCTATGAAGAAATATCCCACTTCTCTAATTAAACCTGAAGATACTGCAATGGTCAGCAAGCCAGCAAATGTTGTCTGGAAACAACCTAAGAGAATAAATTCATAGGCTTCCCCACACAATAGCATAAAAAAAAAAGAAGAAAGTCCACCTGTTAAGAAGCTATGAATAATTACACAAGCTTCAGCTGATACATAATACATCCTGGTATTAATCTAGATCCTTAAATATCCTTCTGGTACTAAAAATACTTTAGAGGAACTGCACATCCCAAGAGAATAACTTGTAGAGAACTTTCTTTAGTTTCCTTTAAATTCTGTAATTTCCTTTTACATCCCAACATAACCACAGTCTAGAAGTTGTGGTGTTTGAATCTAGATTAATTCCATGTGCTTCTCTGAAGACAGAGGATCCTTCTACAAAAGGGAGAAAAAAGTTCCTGGAGGGTACGACAAATGTAACAGTTGTGATGGTAGTGAAGCAAACCACCTTCTTCTGTAGGAACGACCACAAACTAAGATAAAATTGGCTCGGTTTGCATTTGTAGCACAGAAAAATTCACTGTCTTTGAGCTTTTAAAATCGTATTCAAAAGCTTTTTGCTTTTACCTTACAAATTTATGGCAATGCATTTTTTTCTACCATGTGAGATTTTTTCATCTGTTAAACTTTATCATGAGGTTCACAATAAAGGCGCTGTATTTTTTAATGCAAGAAATCAAACCTATAGGGACTTGGGACCATGTAAAATTTGAATTTTGTGGAGGGAAAGTGAATTTGGAAATACGAAAAGTAGTCAGAAACAGCTAAAAAATCATTTTAAATGCATTTCAAAAAGAGGAGCTATAAACTTGAAACATTCTGTAAGGAATTTATTGCAGTGCTGTTCCAGAACTTGGGCAAATAATGCATAACTAAATTGGAAACACTACCTTCTGCCAGATCTGACAAAAAAGGAAAAATTTTTAGCAGGTATCTACTACCCCTACCAAATCAACTCAAAGTCTGGAATAAGAGAAAAGCAAAATCTGAAATAGCCCAACAATTATTGATGTAGGTGCTACTCCTATTTACATATTAGGGGGAAAAAAAAGAAAAAAAAAAGATGAAGTGAAGTGGAAGGGTACAGTGATGAGAAACAGCTAAGATTGCGAAGTGGATCCATCTATCATATAGAGCAAATCCACCTTTTCCAATGAAGAACAGATGCAGAAATGATTAAAGGAGTGCCAGTTAACAAGGAGAGCCGACACCACGCAACGCAGCATTTGGCAGAGAGCAGCTCGTCATTGACAGCGCCGCGCTTCGCCTCAGCTCTGCTCATGTGGCAACCCTGCAGTGACACTGGTTTCAGCTTTCTACTAAGCCTCATCATCTTACAAACACAAAAAAAAGTGAGCAAAGTCTGAAGCAGACAAGTTTTTAAGACCCACACGCTATACTCCAAGTTATGAAATTGGTTACGTTGGCAACACACTACTCAGGCTTGCTTGCAAGATGACACAGTGACTGCTAAAGAGTGCACAGAACAGAACTCTCAGAAAAATAATACAATGAATAGGGAAAATTAAGATTATTTTTATAGTTGTCATTCCTAATGTTGCTTTTAGCTTTATTTTCTTCACAATTTATTGTGTTATGTGGCTATTTACTTCAGAATGTGACTTATATGCCATGTTTACACCATGTGTGTGACTTATATACCGTAAGTATTTTGGTTTCCATTTACTCTTTAGTATGACCCAGGCTTGACATATCCACATCTTAAGTTATAATTAAAAACAAACAAACATAAGCAACCCTTCTCCATCAGAAATGCTTGTTTAGTAGTTGGGTGTGTTTTCTAAGTGCCATTTTCCCCATTTCCAACATCTGCTACAATTTTTAATTTGCAGATCGGGAATTCTAGGTTCCTGAGGAAAGAAACCTAAAATTTTATTATAACAGCATGTTCAATGCCAAACCAATATACTGATTTTTTTTCCACCTTGTTGCTCCATCTAATTTACTGGGAAGGCCTGTGTTTCAAAAACATTGAAACCAGCATTGTGGCAAGCACTAATATTTGGTAAAAAATTTTAAGTGTACTTACTTAAAGTAAAAGAATATGCCAAGAGAAATCAGAAGTGAGGCAATTGAAAGACCATGTCCTATGATGGCCAAATAATACAAATTCAGAGCAGTCTGCAACAGAAGAATAAAACGAAGCACATGTGATTCATGCAGAATTATTAAGGAAGAACATGCTTATACATCTCTTCTACTTACAAAATGACTGTAATGGGATTCAGAAAATAAAAACTTTACTGATAATGAGCCAATCCAGAATCCTGCAAATCATCTTACTAAAATCGCTTTCTGTTGGGCAAAAACCAGATTCATTTAAAACACTTGAAATTCTCTCTTAGATGTTAAACCATCAGGCTTTTAAATACACACTATGTTTTTTCTGAGTATTTATGTAAAAAGTGGTCATTTCTGCTACTGTGCTCAGTGCACTCCCATCTGAGATTGGATTCATCTATCAAACATCTCTTAAAGGAAATAATGTGTTGCACATATGAACGTGCATTTTTTCCTCCCATAATTTTTTCCTCTTGCAAAGATATTTTCTTTGTACCAATGTTTTAAGAATGAGAAAAAAATTAACAATGATTCCGAACTATCAAAGACTAAATGGAAAAATCAAACAAATCTGCAGCCAAATTGTAGTATTATGAAAGGCTAGATGGAGAGCAAAATAATAATGAAGAACTGGTAAAGTTACGTTAGGCATACGTACAAGATCTTACCATCAATTACTTGAATTAATAGTTTCAATTCTACCAATAACAAAATTCTGCTTTCAATTATGGAACCTGCCTCACAAATTTGCTTTTTTTGTTTCCAATTACAAAAATCATCATCTTACACAGAAGAAAAAGAAAGATCTTTAGGTTAAACCTTATATTACCATGATAAAACATAGTTATCTAGATTGTGTAAGAAGGAATCACAGCCTGCATACATGAGCTCATACAATAGATACTGTACACGTCCACTCAACCTATTAGTCCAATTTAATGTTTGAAAGGCTGCAGACTTGTGAAATCACATAAATAGATTACAGGTAAAGCTTTAAGAATTATTAGATGAGACACTGTCTGTGCATGCCAGAAGTTTTCAAGCTTCACAGATGAGTTTCTTGAGACTGGTGACATGCATTTATTCCTTTCCTACCTTCACTTTTTCGTGCGTATAGATATTGCACTGGGTGTAGTTTGTCCATGTCCTGTTGCTTTCTGGGTGTCTAAACCAGTTCCCATTTGGATCACAGATCTTTGTAACTTTTTCTACAGGCAGTCAGAGTAGTCGAAAAGAAAAAGAAACAAGGCAAAAACACAACAGTCAGCAGTGAAGTTCTACTTCCTGATCCTCGTGTTTCACGAAAAAGATTGGCAAACAAATGACAGCTTTATTAATATGACTAGAGAGACGTTGCTTGTTACTTGGAATTCTGAGAAACCAGAGGCCATTGCTTTTGCTTGGCAAGGGCAACTAATGATGTGTTTTTTCTTAAAAAAAAAAGAAAACCAAACAAATACATTTCCCCTCTACAAAATACAATCAAAATATATCAAGCTGTTACAGAACTACCAGATGAAGTGTCAAGGATACTTAAATGGCTACTTCAACATGCAAGATATAAATGGAAGTCTAACATCCTACCACTGTAAATTGAACAGGCAGGAAAACATCAATAGAGAAACCACTCTAGAATCAGACTGGAGAATTTCCAGGACCACATAATGATTAAATCAAATAGAAACGGGCACCAGAAGACCTTGGGAAATAGCAAATGCAGCAGAAGCTGACAAGAGTGGAAGTCTATGACATTTTCCACATGCTCACACAGTGGCAAAGTTCAGCTTACTGGAAAAGACTCACTTGTGGGAGAAACACTTGTTAACTTCGGCTGCCAAATTGAGGTAAAAAAAATATTACATTTCTGCTTTCCTCTCAGAAGGTAAAGCTCAGCACCAAGAGCTAAGCTCTCCACTTTTCTGTGATAAAGGTGAAGTGCAAACAATGCATTTGAAGCTACTGAAATTCTGATGCATTAGTGGCTTGAGTAAGGCAAAGAGTAGGCATCAAGCACCCAAAAACTCCTTTCATTAAGCAATACGTTTATGTAGAAAGCCCATGCACACACTTACCTGATGGATTGAAATCTTGGAAGTAGTCAGGACAATGCTGTACTGATACAGTTCCTGCAGCAACATCACTCCAGCACAACCAGCCATCCCACGTCCTGTTACAGTAAGGACCTAGAAACAAGTGGACAACTGGTAATAAAATAACTCTTCCTTCATAGCAGTCTTTCAAACATAAGGTATAACACCGGACAAGGTAAGTTTCTCATTTGCACATTTTGCTTCATAAAGATAAAAATGGAAACTTAAAATTAACCAGCAGTTAATATTTCATGTAACAGAAACGCCTCCTTTTAGGTGTATTTCTCAGAATACATTTTAAAATCCGTTACCATTCCTCTTTAAATTACCTATCCCTACAGTTCATAAAACACATGAGATCCAGAGCACGGCAGGGTAATATTCTCTGAGCAAAGCAAAGTAAACCAATTCAAACCAAAAAACACACAACAAAGATCTCTGAATCTTATCTGCCCTGGCAGGGGGTTGATGATCTTTAAAGGTCCCTTCCAATCCAAGCCATTCTATGGTTCTACGATTTTGCCAAGACCCTTTTATTGAATTTATTTACATTTTGAATGTATACCTAAGCTATACATGTGTTTATTAGCTCACTGAAAACTAAATGGTGTCCTAGAAACAATCAGAAAGCCTATCTGGGAGGCAGCCACTGTTTCTCTTCCTCAGAGATGAACCTGCAGCTATTTGTCCATTCAAGGTCAGGGATGTTGCAGAGTCCCTCAAGAGCCTGTTTTAATCCCTCACTGTACTCAGTGTAGATCTGTTTTAGAACACCTAAAATAAACTTCCTTTGAGAATCAGCTGGGGCTTTATAACAAATTTCTTTCCCAGAACACATGCAGAAGGACTGACCACAGATTGGAAAAATATTTTTTCTGTCTTCCTTCAGTCTTCTATTCAAAAAAATAATACCACCTTCTCCCTGCTCCTCAAACTATCGTGAAGACTCCAACACCATACTTCCTCTACTCCTGATCTGGACATTTTCCAATTTGTCCGTATTGTTCTGAAGTTGTGGTGCCCTGGCCTCTACATAAGCTTCTACATAAACACTCCCATATCCATTTCTGGCTTCCAGACATTTGTTTTCCTCAAAGAAACATCTCAGAAGAGAAAAAAAACATTTTGTGAAAGAGTGCAATTGCCTCTTCTCCCCAGAACCATTTATAATATTTTCAGAAATTGTAATGGAGAAACAGTCTCAATTTTTAAAATCTGAATATTCCTTTAACATTTTCTTATCAAAAATGAAAGATTTGTGACAGGTGATATACATCATACTACTTTAATGTTGTTTCTAAAAAACTGTACAAAAAGCCTGAAAAAATGATTGCTACCAAGACATGACATGAAAATAAATAAAGGCTCGGGATCCTGAATTACTTTAATTATATGTTGGGCACTTCCCTTTGGAAAATCTTGGGAGAAAGTAAACTCTACCTTCTTTCCTATGAATGGGATCTTGCATAATTTTCTGGTAGCATTCATACTGTGCTGTCATAATTTTATTCCGTGTAAAACTCAGTTGACCGAAGTCCTCTGTCATATTCTGATGACCTTCAGATGGAATAGCAGCGGCAAATAACTAGGAGGAAAAAGACTTTTTTAGCAAGTCGTCTTTTTTCAACCAATTTTGAAACTACGACTCACGTACCAACCGATAATAATAAAATTTCAAAATCTTAAAATAGTGCATTTGAAATATAATTTTACTGAAGCAAAGTGATCTTCAAATCTTACTACTGATAATCTGATATTGTGTTCTTCTGGCTTATTTAACAATTCTTATTACTGAATCTTGGCAAATATCACCTGATTGAGCATGGAGGAATAAATATCTGCAAGATTCATAAAAAATAATTAAAAAATGCAGAGACAGCATGGAAACAATCACAAGTGCATAGACAGCTTTTTCAACATACAGTACAGTATGTGATATCTGTATTCTTTTAAGAGGCATTTGGATCAGAAACAAAATGATCCTTTATGAAAAGGCTGCCCATACAGTCAAAGCTTTTGATTAGCTTATACGCTGTCTCATTTATCTATGGTCTTGTGAAGCAGTCAATCTTCATAATACAGAGAAGTGTTCAAATGACACGAAATCCATTGCTGTAGTTTTTCAAATCAAAACTTGCACACACACAAAAGTGAATCTTGAACTTTCAACTACATTTTTAAAGAAGCAGCAAGTTTTACCTGAATCAACTAAGCTTCATGGAAAATAAAACACCTGCAGATAGAAATACTGCATCTTTCTCATGCAAGCAAAGAAATTAAAAGTCCCTAGGATTTCCTTCGAATCTGTGCAATAAGTCTTCCCCACTCTTCCATGAAATTACACAGCACTACTTATATGTCACATGTCACCTGCTACCATAAACTTCTATGCTAGCAAAAGATACATTTGGTTCAACAGAGGCAATTACTATTACAGTTCCTTTAGTACTGTTAATAAAAGGAAGACATGAGACAGATAGTAATCCTGCTCTGCAGAAACTGTATTTGAATACATCATTACCTTATAGAAAAATAAAAATTCCTATGGTATTCTGTACAGCCTTGCTCAAATGATACTGATTTAAAAAACAAAAAATGATAAAACTCACCAAAGTAACCAAGAGGAAGAACAGCAAGAATGTGATCCAGTTTTTTGTCATTTTTATTTCTGACGCAGTGTATTTTATGTTGTGACTGAATTAATGCAAACTGCCATAGAAAAAAATATAGGAAAAAAAAGTTATTTCGTGAAAGCAACAACTGATGAATGACTTCATATTTTCTTTATGCAGTAGAACAAATCAGTGGAGGTCCACCCAATTTTTATTCAACCTAGTGTCTTTTGACCTACATGGAGATGCACAATATCACATGAAGAAAATGCATTCAGTTCACCATAGCAAATTCCAGCACCCAGATCTTGCCTGCACCAGCACATCCATCTCTCACAGTTCAGGCAGGAAGGGCCCACCCATGGCCTCAACTAATACCACTTCTTCAGAGGGTTTATCTCAATTTGGTAGCTGATATCAACTCTAACAGACAGACAGCAATTAACAGGTCCCAACGGCCAAGATCTGAGTTGCCTACTTAATTCAAAGATTGAACTGCTACTGAAGCAAGAGGGCTGCTGCTGTCCGAATATCTTCATGCAAACCTTCCTCCTGACTCAAGGCACATTTGACCTGCAATCACACTTGTGCTTGTTTTTGGATTTTTTTTTCCTATCCAGCATCACAACCTACAAGTGGTGCGCAAGAAACAAGCGATAGTACATTGCCCAGCACAGAGAATTTTACACAAAGATAATACTTCTAGAACATCTCATTCACAAAAAGCAAGCGTTCTCCACCTACTTTGCCAATACAGTGGCACTGAGTCTTCTTAACTGTAATTCAATAGACAGCATTTTGTAGGCTGTACAGACTAAATCTTGATAGAAATACAAGAAACCGGTTTTAAATTCAGTTACTGCTGCCCCATTTTAATCCAGAGCAAGACTGTATCAGTGATCCTCCGTCTATTTTTACTGCTGGCGTGCAAGCCTCTAATACTGATTGCTGGAAATTGCCCAGGTAATTCAGTGGAACGCTGGATTTCAAATATGCTGTTTTGAAGTTTTTTTAAAAGATTAATAGGAAGACCAACTGACACACACAAAATATTTTTGCAATGCAATCCAACAGTTCTTTAGAAAATCCACATCTGATGAGAACTACAGTGAAATGCTAATTGCAGAAATCACCATTTGTCACACAGTACGGCAGCTTTTTGGTCTTTGTTACTGAACACATTGTTAATTAAAAACATCGAAATATCCATGTTTAATGACTGAACATCAAGTGAATAGAAAATACAGACGGAGACACCCATATTAATAGTGGCATGATGTGGTTTCAATTGTATGTGATAATTGGGAAAGGGGTACAGTAATTCAAAGCTGATAAAATTCTTATGACATTTTTAGTTGTGCCTATTTACCTGGGAGAGAAAGAACCAGAACACTGGCATTCTAAGAAAATCAAAATTAACTACTTGGATGTAAAGAAATACTCTAATTGTTCCCTGCTCTCTCCAAGACATGCGAAAGCACATCTGCAGAGGTTTAAAAGCCACACAGAATGTTCACAGAACAAAGAAAGCAATGGAGTACAACATAGCGATCGTTATTTTACATTTCTTTGGTTTTTTGCAGGTGAAGAAGTTCAAAATAATTTTCCCCACAATAGTTCCAAAAATCCTTTTGCTACAAGAGACAGTGGATGAGAAATTTGAAATAAAGATTAGATATGGCCCTTGATTAACCTTACTTATATTTCTTTACGTATATGATATTGTATGAACAGCAGCAAAACTCATCTGTGTTGCTTCACAGTTCATGACTGTTTCTGTTTTACAATATAAAAAGTCACCCTTTGGATCCGTTCCTTTAAGAGTCTGTATCTCGTGGTTCTGTAGACAATTCCTATCAAATACTCCAGAATCCAGCATTAAGTTATTAATTCTCCTCAAGTGATAAAAGATTAAGTCTATTATTTTCACAATGCTTTCTACTTATTCCTTGCAATTACTAACTTGTAAATACAAAAACTTATACATAGAGGGAAAAAAAGCATTATCTTCCCAAATATTACTATTGGATTTAATTACAAAATGCAGGGTGAGGGTCATTCAGATGCCTATTTCAGCAAATCATGTCGGACTTCAGCAAAGCATTTCTTTCATCATCAGATGAATTCATTCAAAGTTTATTTCAGTTGGATAGGACAAGCACTTTCACAGCAAGATTAAAATCTTTCTTAGCAATGGACAGCAGTATACTCAGTTATTGAATGAGGTAGCAGGACAGTACTCTTGACAAAGTAGGGTTGTTTTTATATAGCATCTGTTTGCATGAGCTCAAAAACTAATAAAATTCTCAGGACTCTCATAACTGGGAGACATGAGATGCACAAGGCACAGAAGTTAATAATAGAAGAACCCACTGTTAGATTTCTTTAAATAATAATAATGCTTCCCAAGGCGCTGTTCTACTGTTACACATCTTCAACGATTCTACTGTGGGGAAAAGTGGACATTTTTATTAGACCAAGATTAACTTTGAGTGTAATGGAAGTTAACCTGTGGGAAAAGGTGGCAGGAATCTATGCAGCATCCTTCAACACCACTCACTGTAAGCCAGGGGGCACAACCTCAGAACTAACGGTTGGTGCCCGGCCTGTTTTCCCAGTAAAAGACCATCAGTGGGATGAGAAGGGCAAATTTCAATAGCAATTCATATCTCTAAATTTTTTTTTTTCTTAATGCATGTTGCCAAAACATCAGGGGAGCACAAAAAAAATGAAAACGGGGGAAAAAAAAACTAAAGAAAAAGAAGCCAATCCCACACAAAAAGTATGAAATAAACCAAACCAAGCAAACACAAATAACAGCAAAAGCAACAGCAAAAATAAGAACTTTTTGTCTTCATTACAATTGCCAAAAGAGAAAGCACAGGAGCATGCTGTGTTTCTCAGTGATAGCGGTGACATCTATTGGATAACAAATTCAAAAGGAACTGCAACGTAGCCAAAAGGGTCACTGGTACAGCTTTAGCAGATGTTCACGTTTCTCTTCCTCCTACTTTCTTTGCACAGCCATCCGTCCTGCCTCATCAGCTGTTTCTACTTTTAATCTTTTCCCACTCTCCCAAGAATAAATGTCACCCTTGCTGAGTTCCAGACACTTCCCATTTCAATCATACAGCAAAAGGGTAAAAAAAAATTAAATTAACAAGTGAAAAAATAAGGATTTTTTTGAACTTCAGTCATCTGACTGCATTTAATACATCAAGAAAATACACAGGCTTTTACCTTAAGCACCTGCCCTTTAGCTTGACTTGAAGTCAAAATGCATCTCTGTATGTCTGAGATAGGAGAGAGTTACTGACATTATTGTGCCTACATTCATACACTGCACAAAAGTGTATTCCACAAATTGGTAATCTGTGACTCTCCTGAGAAAAATTTTCCAGTAAAAATTCCATTAGCTTGCAACGATGCTGCAACATTGCAACACTGAAGTAGAACGTGCAAACGTAGATGTATATATCCTTCCTCTCTGCTGAAAGTGGCAGTGCAAATGGCTATTTCTTGACGAAAAAAAACACACCCTCTTCCTGTTATTCTAGCACTCCCTACTTTCTTGGGGCTAGCACTCTCAGACTGGGTATTTTGTTATTTCTGGTTCTTTTTAGAGATAGGGATACAGTTCAAAGTATTTCATTCCCTCAGGTAGGGTTTGGTTCTTTCAGCCCAAGGTACAGCCAAAAAAAAAAAAAACAAGTTGGAAAATGTCCAACCCTTTCCAAGCATCCCTAATGTGAATTGCTGTATTACACTGTTAGGAAATTCCAGGAGCCCCAAGCAGAGCTACAGAGTCACTTACTTCTCTGGTCACATAAGTTTTGGGGGAAAAGACTCTTCTTGGTTTTTTTATTTTTTTTTCTAACTATAATGGTTTTTGTGGACCATATTATGTTAGTCCTGAAAGTGAACTACCTCCAAACTTGCACAGAGGCCAATTCAGGGCAATTTGGAAATCCTCCTTACCAGGTAAAATGCTCTTTTATTTCTGAAGGGACTTCTGCTAATTTTTGGACCAAACTGCTCTGATGGCATTACACAACAGTTCACACCTATATGTGTAGGAATTTCTCCATCCTCCTAATAACTATGGGGATAATGAAGAAAACTAAAAAATAATGGCCACAGAACAAATGTACCGAACACTGGGTAGAACAGTTTCATGACATCAGAATTCCTTGCTTCCTACTGGTGCTTTTAACTAAGACCCAAGCATCAGCAGTTGCAGACTCCTGAAACAGGTGAGACAGGAAACTGAAAGATGATTCTCTAAGACTACTTCTAAAGCACAGAAGCACGAGCTCTTCACAGCTCCCTACTGACCTCAACTGCACTGTTTATTCAGGTTTTTTAAAACAACAGCAAAAAAAAAAACAAAACAACCACATTTACATACACTGAAATCCACAAGTTGCTGTACTTTGCAATAAACAAAATTTAATTTACACATACCTATTTAAAGCACTGATAGGACCTGTGAATCCTGTCCTGTGAATGCTGGCAGAACTGCTGTAAGGCAGTGCTTACAGAATTACTATTGCTGCACTTATTCTTTGATACTTGCGTGACCACCACTCTTCAAATCAGATACGGTCGCATCATGGAAAACAGATTAACAGAAGTAAAAACAGAAATGCTTCCAGTAGCATTCTGAACTCCTTCAGAGGGCTGGGACAGATCACTGTGCGTACCACTGGCTGGTAATGGGCAGCATCAGAAATATGCAGTACTACAAAGAGCTTGCCTAAGAAATGCAGCAGCGCATATAAGGATCAACTGAGATCCCTTCATCTGCAGAACAAAAAAAAATGCTTACAAGCCTATTAAAGACGTCCCCAAGTGGGCTGGTAACTATGAAAAGATGTGCAATATTCACTGCATCACAACAAAATATAATATAGAAAACAAACTCCATGTGCAACAAAGCCAGTTTCTTTCAACTTTTCATTACTTTTCATTCTCCAGACTCGCATCACTTCTCACACACACGGAGACATCTTATATAAATGTCAAATCCTTTGTTCCACGCACTAACTTTTCTCCCTCTTTCTATCTTCCTTTCCAACAGTTTTTTACTACCAAGTA